ACACCTGACTACTTCACCTTGCGGCATTGGATCTGTTTTCCTCTCCAAAAATCAATCGATGATTCAACTCCATTCAATTCAATCCATACATAGCTTATAAATCATGTCGACAATACCATCAAGGACGAGGTCAATTCGTAAACCTTCAGAAAGAATTACTAATATTAGTCGATCCGATAAATCACCTGTGGCTGCAGCTCCCGAGGGTACAGCTTCACCGAGTCGTTTACCTACTATCAAACCACGAAGAACAACCATATCAACCGCTTCGAGCACCTCAACCTCTACACGACCTCCCGCTACGAGCTCAATTGGTAACAGCAGTGCTTCCATACGACCACCATCCACTCGGGCAAACATAAGCAAGCTTCCCACGAATGGACTTGCTCGATCGACCTCAATTCGAAATACATCCGCCGCGACGTCTGAACCCGTGAAGGATCGTTCAAGGCCACCCATAACTTCTTTAAATCGATACATTTGTACCTCATCGAGCACTTCTACCACTGCAAGACCAGGCCATCTACGTAGAAAATCCTCATCGACCATTCTAAATAACCCCTCCACCGTCCTCCGCCCACCTAGTCAATCATCACAAAGATCGCGCCCGCCAAGTCAATCATCGCAGAGAGCACCATCACAAGATGCCCCAGTGAGAACCCGTCCACAGTCCCTATATGCAGACACATCCATCCGCAAACCTGCCTTCTCTACTCTCCAACAACACTTTTCTCCGGCAAAGAATATTGGTTCTAAACCGCATCCTGCCACATTCCTCGCTGCTCCGACTCCCAGTAAATTACCTTCCAACATCGCAATAACTGCGGAAGCCGCAAAGCTCCAAAATGAACTATTACAACTACACATACTGCATAGAGATGCGGAACTAGTGAACAGGCAGTGGAAAGCTAGCGCGAAGAAAAAGCTTGGGGCAAAGTTCCAATCAGTGGTGAAGAGACATGATGAGTTAATCCATTTGGAGGTGGAAGAAGCTGGAAAGATTAATGCTGCTGCTTTAAAAGAGTGGCAAGGCATAGGAACTCCGGGATGGGGTCTAGAGGAGAGGATTCAGTTACTTGACGAAGTACTCAATGAAGCTTGGATTCTAGGCGAACCCGGAGGAAAATACGCGAGGTTATTGAGAAAATTCGAGAAGTGGGTTGTTAAATGCGAGCAGATATTGAAGGATAGGGAGCATGACCAAATGCTGGACGAGGAAGAGGAAGTTGTGTTTATTGAGGAACTAGACATGGCATGGAAAGATGAATGTTTGGTTCTGAAGAGGAAACTCGAAGGATGGCGAGATGCTTTAGGAGATCTCGGGAGGTTTGAACAAGAGTCCACAGTGGCGAATGTGGTGGGCGGGATTAGAGCCTTGGTAAGTGGCATGCTTTTAGAGTTGGAGACCATGGCGCAAATCGAATCATATGCCATGACATTGGAACAGGAATGCATTCAGAGTGTGAATGGGGGGTTAGAACATGACGATGATACTTCTGTTGCAGGCGCTGTATGGAGGTTTATGTGAGCTATCATGGGTCAAGGACCTCGTACTCCGAGGCTTTATGCGGACCCATTTATAATCGGGTCAAGGAGGGCTAGATCGCTTTCGTGCCATATCCTCTTACTTCACATGTCATCAACTGTCAATAGTCTAAATACACAATCAACAGGAGCTGATCCATGAAGCCTGATATAAAAAGTACTATGAAACACAAGAGATTGCAGGGAGACAATAGTGCCACTAGGAAAATTTTTATTCGTTCTTATTGTTATTTATGGTATCTCACACAAGCATATTAAGCCATTCTGCAAAACCCCAGTCATTCCTGTCACCGGCACCCAGCCTCCGGTTCAAGCAGCCCAAAGCATCGTATGTCCTTAACCAAAAACTCCGTTGAACTTAAGCTATGCACAAATACTCACTGCCGACCCCCGATAAAAGATCCCTCTATCATAGATTGAAGAAAAGCAATGCTATTAAACCTGTGAAGGCCTTATACACCTGTATTAATCTCGAACAAAGAACGATTATTGATGATTGCACCCCCCCAAGATATGAAGTGAGTCCAATTTATGCACCGCCATTTGCCTTGAATTTGCTTGTCACAAGAATGCGAAAAGAATTGTTGAAAATTCGGAACCGATCAAACTCGTTGGCTAGCAAAATCTAGGACCTCGCAATCATCTTCAAAGAAGCCTTCCTCGTCTTCGTTGCCTGCGTTTATGGCACCATTAGAGCTAGCACCCTTGCGTCTTCTCGTAGTAACTACAATCTGCTCCATGTCCTCATGACTGCTGTCTGCGATCCTCATTACTCGCTCGATGGCAGAAGACGGGAGAGCCCTATGGTAAGAGGAAGTTTCGTAGTCATCTTCTGTAAGTTGGGGCGGACCAACATCCAGTCTCACACTTCTTATAGGGCCGCCGAATGCCCACGCATTCTTTGTCGATTCAGTCACAATAACGTCAGATGAACCACTTGTAGATGTGGAAGATGATGGTGTAGTCGTTTCATGAGAATATATATGGAGGTTAACCCGGCGATCTGTATGAAATGGCTGATATGGTGCATTCGACTCAATCTCTGCTTGAGGTATCGAAGATTCGGCTCCAGAGGGAAGCGATACCCGACTTGATACCTGTCTCGCTTTCCAATTATCCGCTGTATCTCTGGCTAATGTACCAAGAACATCGTCGGGTACTGGACCTGGCGCAATTCTAATGTCAGGTAGAGGTGGTACCTGAAATTCGACGTATTTGGCACCCCTGGATGCCTTTTGCTTGTCGGCTGGACGATCTGCCCTTCTACTTTTCACTGTGTAGATTCGGACAATCCCTCCACCGACTACGATGATTGAATCACCATGCTTCCCATTGTAGAATCTGACGCAGTTCGGGCTGGGGATATTTCTGCTCTTAGGTAGGTGCAATTTCGTTCCGCCAGACTTTCGCATTTCATTCATCTTACCAGTTGCAGCGCCTACAGACCGGCTAATCCCAGCAGCCAATGCCTGCGTTCCCTGGCCTGCTTGCGACTTCACACTAGCAGCAGTGATACCCGGAAGACCGACACTGCTTCGCCGCCTGCGAGAACCGACGAGAGGTCGAGCTACAGTCCACAGTGATGACACAGCACTTGAAGCTACTCCGACAGCAGAAAGAGTAGCGTTGTTGCTATCGAGGTTCGTCTGATCAGAGCTTCCTGAATGAATCCGCCGTCGTGGTGGAGGCCATGTAAATGCACTAGCTGGAAGGTCAAGAATGTGGACCGTTCCAGGCTCCGTTACCATTGCAGCACGCTCACCATGTGGTGCCGTCCATACGACGTCCACAATTCTTGCAATGGTCATGCGCGAGAATTGTGCAATCTGTCGAACATGCGATCCATGTACACCTCCACCTTGGGACCCCGCCCCTTTGAGAAGAGATGACCTTGAATAATGCAACCGCATGAGATCCCAGACAAACTGGACATCGCCTTTACTACTTGCGGTGAACAAAGCGAGACCGCTAGGCGCAAGTGACAGAAAGCTACACCCATGAGGTACGGGAAAAGTAGCTAGAGGATGAATCGATGATCCCGAGGTCTGTTGTGTTAGCGAGTCTAGATCTAAAATTGATATTAACCCAGGATCCTTGCTTGTCGTGTTTGCTTGGCAATTGAGTCCATGCGTAGGAGGAAACTGGGGAGAATTGTTCTGCGGTGCTGAATATGTGTTCCCACCATTCGTTTGCTGGGGTGCTGCGGACTTGTTCCAGTAATTATTCCAATACTGAGCACCTTGCTTCCCAACATATCCAGATATCTCGACAATTCCCTGTGTTGCAGCTTGAAGAACTTGCTTTAACACCCCTTCACCACCGGGAGTATCCACCAGACAGTTTACCGCGGGAATATGAGGAGGAGCTTGTGAAATCAGGCCAGGTACGCGCCCCGTTGCAAGAGTCTCTGGAACAGTAGCACGGAGTGAGACTTGGGACAATGCTGCCGAGGGACAATAGGCCAGCCAACGTCCATTCAAAGATAGTATTGAGGCTTTGTATTGAGATCGTGGGCTGGCTTCCGGCTGACGTACACCTTCCGCAAAATTGTTGAAGACCGCTGGATCTACAGAAAGACCGTGTTGAACAGTTGTCCATACTTTCCCAATACACTTGAACTCGACTTCTGAAACAGTTTTGTCCTTGTGCCGAAAAATCCATGTTTCACCAGTGATACCCGAGGCTACGACAACATTACCCCTATCTGCTCGAATTGTGAACGACCCAACTGGAGCTGGTGCTGTAAATAATGGGCTTGACGGAGATATTGGCAAGTGTATCTTTGGAGTATATAGCAGAGTGGCAATATGTTTCTTTGTACTTAATGAATATACTTCAACTGTTGTTTGATAACATTCTATCAAGTCATCATCGTTCTCGCCATCGATGGAGCGGGTAGACAACCTTGGAGAACCCACTGCATCAGTCGGCGCAGGAGGGCTTTCCGGAGACGTAGTATATTCAGGGGAATTCTCACTGGTTGTACGAACCGGACCGTGAACAACGACAGCGATCAAAGGATATTGAACGGAATGCTCCGATCCAGCGGTCCACGGAAGGATCTTGGAGTTGTAGACCCCACCTCTCAACCCATCTAAATTGAGTATCTTATTCACACCTCTCTTGGTGACATTATGAATACTTAGCCCACCCTCAAATCCAGTAACAATCACATTATTTGGAGGTTTGCTTGCATCCTGAGCCGGATAACTATCAAATCCACAATAAAAGCCTTTCTCACCAGGGATCAGACCCGAGGTTCTAGGTGACAACATAAGATTGGTATCCGGCGCTCCATGGAAATGAGCTTGAGGTTGATGTGGAAGCGGTGGATAAGGATTATATCGTACCGCTTGTGATTGTTGTGAATAGGTTGAGGTACGTCGAGCTGCAAACGCCAGTGCAGAGTGATATTCTTCAGGACTGTATGGCAGGTTTCCATCCATTTGATAGCTCAGCGGTCTTCTACGACTTATTGTATTTAATGGAGAAGATGAAGGGATGTGATTATTGGGAGATCCCTTTGGTTCTTTTCCAGGGTAGCCGTAGTTCGTGATCTTGTCTTCGTATGAAGAGGGTAGCGTAGGAGGCGATTCACCCAGGCTTATCAGGGTGTTAGGAGAGCTGGAAAACGCCGGAATATTCTTTGCCCATTCATTTGTGTTGTGCGTAACAGAAGAGCCTTGAGAAGTCGATGATAGCGCGTCCAACATAGGAGATGTCACCAGACTTTCATTTTGCGTAGAAACTATCGGCTTTGTCTCCGGAGACGGGGTCTGAGAGGTTACCGCGGAAGACTTATTCTTACTAGACAAGTCGGCAGGTTAGCAACTGAACATGTCATAGAGGGCGTCATGAAGTGAGAGCGACTCACGATTTCGCTGCATTACTCCTCGTCACCGCAGCCATAACCCCTCCAGCAGCACCGCCATCCCTCGCCGTCCCATTTTTTTTGGCGTTCTTGGTGGGAATCTGCACTCCAGCTGAAGCGCCTTTCGTTTTGTTGGATTGTGATGGTCCGCTCGAAGTATGGTTGATTTCGTTATCAAATGAGGTGGGCATTCAAATGGCTATAAGATCTTAAAATAGACTCTTGTGAATCCTGCCGCTGTTGCAGTGTTTATATGTAGGACTCGGGTTCAGTCAAAGGTCGACAAGATAAGTAGGTTCGCGAGGTGTTTCGAGATGCCGACAAGTCAATACAACTCCCGGGCTTCCTGAACGGTCAGAATTCAGGAGAACGCTCGGGAATCTCAGTAAAAAGAATGTGGTCTAGAATACCAAGATAGATGTGCGTATGTGCAAGTATATTTATTTTTCTAGGGAAAACGAATTAATATTGATAAATGAAGTATTTATTGTAGGTTGTTGTCACTCTTGCTGTGTTAAGAGCTCGCTCCTGAGAGTCCAAGCTGGGCCGGCTGGTTATCTCTGGTTGGTATGTATGTATATGTTTGCGGTATGAAGAGGGGCATTGCCAAGAGTGGGTGGGGAGATCATGTACACAGGCACGAGTTGACTGTACCAGGCATTTATTAGTGTATGATTCAAAGAGATATGCGGATGTAGATAGGTACAATATCTGTTCTCGTCAATGAGATCTCATAAAATATATATTATGTGACTGTATTTTATACACTTGATTATTAAGTATTTACCTCATTATATCACTTGATCTTGTCATTCCCATTAGACACACCGAAAGCATCTATCTTCGGACTGCTATTCTCATTGTCCTTTGTGCTAATCATACGTCAATCAATCAATGAATCAATCAATCATCTAATCCAGATCAATAGGGTATATACATCTACACCGCATGTGTTGTATATGCCATCTCCAAGATGTATCGGTACCTACTAATAAAAGAGATGGAACATTGCATCGAAGGGGCATTGGATGGCCTTGAAAGTTGGTCCCATGACCTACATCTATTGAGCTGATGTCAGAAGGCTACTTACGTATTATACATACCTACCCAGTAAGCCCTCCTGATCTAGGTGCTGGGAAGGGGGCTTTTAGAAAGACATAATGAACCTTGTTTATTTAGGAAGGATGCCGATCTAATTGGTACCTACATTGACACTATATTGTAATTGAGACATCTCTAAAACTATTGATAAGCTTCGGCCTTTTCTCTCTCTGGGTTGAAGCCTCTTGAAAGGTTCCATCTTCTCCATATCAGGACCAGAAGATAGGAGGAGTGGAAGATGGACTGGAAGATAGGTAGTTTCCAACAAGAAATTGACTATTATCAAAGCAAAATCAAAGAGCAGATCATCCATAATAAAGAGATCGCTAGCTCTATCATCCAAGTACCGTAATAGAAATACCTAGAATACCGTGCTCATGCAGGTACACCATACAGGAAACTCATCATTGTTCCAAAGTTGCTTGTGTAAAAGAATTTGACGGTTCCTAGAATTTTCAGATTGTGCTGGAACACAAAGCCAACCTTCCAGTATTTCCAAGGATCCGCTCGTGCCAATGTAGAATTGCAATTTCCAACTAATACCATAACCGTTGCCGCCATCAAACGAAAAGTGATATCAAAAATATCGTGGGTATTGTATACATACACAGATTCCTCACAAATGCTGAAGAAATCTTGCCCGCCCTTCCACAATTTGCGCCGTCCTTGCCAACAGGCTCCCACTGACGACCAGGCATACACACAATGAGTTCAATATCACTCAAAGTAGTACACTTTCTCTGTCGCAACACCAATCCCATTAACCAATTCGCCCCTCTCTAGTATAACCAAGCCATTACGCCTTCTTCTTCAAAGTGGCCTTCGCTTTCGCAGCCTTCTTTCTGTTGCTTCTGATCATTACCACGCTCAAGAATGATCCGACCACAGCGGATGCCATCAGGATAAGTATAACAGGTATTCTAATTGCCCAGACCCGAGGAGGAAATACATTCTGAAGAGGATGATCGGAGTCGACGAATGGCTGATCACAAAAATTAGCCCCCAAGATATTTATCAACGGCGGAGAGAAGGAAAGCAGAGTATCCATACCATAAGAAGGGTCCATATAGTGTAGTAGAGGAAGACGACCGAAGCAGCGACGAGCATCGCGAGACCAACGAGTTGATCGAGCTGTGAAGCGTAATATTAGCATTCAACTCAACACAACTTGCGCCAAACATCAGCTGCACGCGGTATTGATTGACATCTCTCACCATTGTTGTAGTAGACTTTTAAAAGAGTGTGGTTTAATCAATCCGGAGCTCGGAAGCTTAAGATTTATGAGGTGAAGCTTCTGGTTACTTATAAGGTAGTAAAAATGAAATCAATTGTACCAAAAGTTCATGAGAGCTCCTTTCCCCATCAGTCAATCTGGTCTTTCGCAATACAAGGGCCCTAAACTTTATTTTCGTTTAGCGCTATTTCTGCGTCTAAATTTACTGTACCACCCACCAGTGCACTGTGTACCCTTCGCGCGGACCCTTACAATCAATAACTTTTCAGCTTGTCAACTTCATACAATACAGATTCAATCACCTGCGCCATCACATTATTATAATATCGCAAACCGAAGCTCCTGTGTTACTTTTCTTTTTTCTTCTTCCAATAATCGGATGTACTAAAGGGAAGGAAGAGGCGTTAGCTCACCGTCTGCGAAAGCTACGAAGCTTTCGACAAGTTTTCAAAGCGTAGCTCGCAGCCACTTGTGACTTCCCAGAGCTTCATTATAAGATTTCGGCCATATATTCCCGACGTTGCAAAAGCGACACAAATACAATGGCTACTTCAGTTGTCCCAGAAGATAGGATCATGGAAGAGAGATCTAATAACCGCGTCCCTACTTCCCCACGCCGCCGTTCCTCTAATACTGGAAAACAACCGGACCGTGAATTTCGAGGCAGAGACATGGTTGTAGTCAAGGAAAGATCCGAGGGAGAGAAACAAGCAGCTGCGAAGGCTGAATATGAGAAACTTCTCACGATGCGATCTGGTGGTACCTATATCCCTCCCGCACGCTTGCGAGCACTGCAATCTCAGATTACAGACAAAACGAGCAAAGAATATCAAAGAATGGCATGGGAAGCACTGAAGAAGTCAATAAATGGTTTAATCAACAAGGTCAATGTATCAAACATCAAGTACATTGTACCAGAGTTATTTGGAGAAAATTTGATTAGAGGTCGAGGGTTATTCTGCAGGAGCATTATGAAGGCTCAGGCTGCCAGTTTACCATTCACACCGATATATGCCGCAATGGCCGCAATTGTCAATACAAAACTTCCGCAAGTTGGAGAGCTTCTCCTAAAGCGTCTCATAGTGCAGTTTAAGAAAGGGTTCAAAAGAAACGACAAGGCTGTGTGCCTTTCTGCCACCACATTCATCGCCCATCTTTGTAACCAACAAGTAGCAAATGAGGTAGTTGCGGCCCAGATCCTGTTACTACTTCTTAATAAGCCGACGGACGACAGTGTTGAAATTGCGGTTGGGTTAACGCGGGAGGTCGGCCAACATCTGGAAGAGATGAGTGGACCTATCGCTCTAGCGGTGTTCGATCAGTTCAGGAATATTTTGAATGAGGCAGATATCGATAAACGGGTACAATATATGATTGAAGTCCTCTTTCAAGTTCGAAAAGACAAATACAAAGATAATCCTGCGATCAAAGAAGAGCTGGATCTTGTGGAGGAGGAAGATCAAATTACACACCGCATAGTCTTGGACGATGAGATTGATGTCCAGGATGGACTCAACATTTTTAAATTTGATCCTGAATGGGAACAAAACGAAGAATTATACAAGCAGCTCAAAGCCGAAATTCTTGGGGAGGGAAGTGATGACGAGGGCGACGAGGATGAGGAAGATGATAGCGAGGATGACGAGGAAAAAAGGGAAGAAAAGGCGTTAGAGATCAAGGACCAGAGTAATACAGATCTCGTCAATCTACGAAGGACTATATACTTAACTATCATGTCGAGTATTGACCCTGAAGAATGTTGCCACAAGCTGATGAAAGTCACACTACCGTCTGGCCAGGAGCCTGAACTTCCTTCCATGGTCATTGAATGTTGCTCCCAAGAGAGAACGTATTCAAAGTTTTATGGCCTTATTGGGGAGCGTTTTGCAAAGATAAATCGCCTCTGGACAGACCTTTTCGAGCAATCATTTGCCAAGTATTATGATACCATCCATCGTTACGAAACAAACAGGTTACGAAATATTGCGAGATTTTTCGGACACCTTCTTAGCTCAGACGCTCTTGGCTGGCATGTTTTGTCCATCGTACATCTCAACGAAGAAGAGACAACATCGAGCAGTCGTATCTTTATTAAGATTCTTTTCCAGGATCTGTCGGAAGCAATGGGAATGGCGAAATTGCAAGCTCGCTTGAAGGATGATATTCTGCGACCTTATTTTGAAGGGTTATTTCCCCATGATAACCCTCGCAACACAAGGTTCTCCATCAACTACTTGACAAGTATTGGTATGGGTGCTATCACGGAAGAGATGCGTGAATACCTTCAGAACATGCCAAAACCAGCATTACCAACATTACCTACGGCTCCCGACGATGCTGCATCGGACTCGGAAAGCTCTGTCTCAAGCTATTCATCTTACACAGGCTCGTCTTATTCGCGATCTCGCTCGCCATCTCAAAGTCGTGGTCTAGACAGGAGACGTTCAGTATCTAGGACACCGCCGCGTACTGACAAACGGAAGGAAATTAGAAGAGGGCGGAGTTTAACGCGATCTCTTTCTAGGTCAATCACACCACCTCGTCAGGGCAGGAGACCAGCTTCAATATCCATAACACCTCCACGTCGAGGACGCAAAGATTCGAGCCTTTCCAGGTCGAGATCTAGATCTCGTTCACCATATCCTCAACGAACAAGGCGCCGAGATCGCTTCTCAGAAACTCCACCGAGAAGGAACAGATCTTTAAGCGAATCAAGGTCACCTCCGAGAAGAAATGCTGCGAGGAGAAACACATCCTCCGTCAGCGCAGGCCCTCGAAAACGCCAAGGTTCAAGCATTTCAAGATCTCCCTCGCCTCGAAGGCGTGCCGAGAGAGACAGATTTTCCAGGTCACCGCCTCCCAAAACGTCTCTGCGGAACGATAGCTACTCAAGGTCTCCAAGCCCGCAACGCAATACACGTAGAGTCAGCAGATCCATTTCCCCACCACCCAAACGAAGACGCGATTACAGCATTTCTAAATCTCCACCACCAAAGCGAGGCCGGAGACATGATTAGACGGTAAAGAATGGAAATCAGGATTATAATTATAGTGTTGGCGATAGTTTCACACAATTCGAGCAAGCGTAACTTACCATCAGTTCTAGAGGATATCAATTCGCATTTGTTTCAATCAACTGGTGTGTTTTCAGATCTTAATCACGTGAAACCTGCAGCGCTCACGCTCTACCCTTTACCTTGCTTGGCAAGACTTTTCTTTTTTTTCTTTTGTATCAGAAACTCTTCCTGCAGTGATCTTTGATGACTCCTTTGGTACCAGCTTGAGCGATTGGCCATTCTGCTATAGGATATTCTAGTTTGGTCAATATGGATGCTTTTGGTTAGTGTGTGGTGTATCGTATGTAGGCTGGATCCTTTGCTTCAAGTAGGTTAAATGTAATTGGGACTTTCGAGTTCTATCTCCATACCAACCTAATGATAGACCATAGGATCCTATGAAACATATAAGTGGTCCGACAACTTCAAAATCTGTAGCATGTTGATATTCTATCAAAGCAAGGCCCATGAGCCGCCGGGGCGGGGTAGCCGGTGGGTGAACAGTGGACGCCGAAATTGACAGATGTGCTAGACATTGTGCTCTATATATTCCTAGAGAATATTTTAACTTAATGGCTATCAAATCTGCTGTATCGAAGCTTTAATTTCTCCATCACCGCACTTTTGCTCTTGCTCTTGCCTAACAATCTTTGAACTCCATGTACTGAGATATCGATATGCAGTACATGTACCGCTTGTGACTCTGTAAACTCTGTAACGGAGGATGATTTCAACCGAATCGCCTTTCGGCGCGATCAATTTCCGTGCGACACTTCACCGCTCAAGTCAGCTGTTGGAGTTGATAAGTACAGTATGTATATATACCTAGGTACTGTTTATGATTCAAAGATTCATAGATACATTGATACTGAGTCTGAATGGCATTGACTATGCGAATATATAAGATTACCTACTTGCCTCCTACTACCTGGCTGCTACCTCGCTACTACATACCTACTGCCTGCCTGCCTCCTGCCTGCCTCCCTACCTCCCTACTACCGACCTACCTACCCCTTTCTCACTGGCTACAAATCCTTAGGGACACGCAGAGAGAGATGTTTACAAACTGCTTTTTCTCGAATGTCCGAACAAGGATTAATATACAAGGTTTAAAATTAACTCACCGGGTACTTTTAGTCAAGGCATAGAAGGGATTACATACCGAGATTTGACTAAACTGAATGGAGATGTTCAATCTGAGTAAGCAAGGTCTTGCATCTGTAAGCGTCTGTACCACTCAAACTCACTTCCCAACACCCAACCACCAAAAAAGGATCACCACCACCAACTATCGCACCACAACACGCACCACACCATTACTACCCTATGAAGATGACGATGAAGGAGAAAGGCATGGTGGCCAAAATAGCCGGTCCATTCAAAATCACCAACTAAACACTCTGTTCTTGTTTTCGGCTGTGGTTCAACCAGAACTGATTGACTGTCTAACTTGGCACCGTCTAACTATTTACTGTCTAGCTGTCCAACCAACCCGTCTATCCGCAATTTGCGAGACCAAGTCTTCAGACAGGAGGTTGTTATACCAGATGCTGTGCCACTGCCTATAGGTGAATCAAATTGACCCTGGTCAAATTACTCTGCTCTCTTTCTCTCCCACTCTACTACTCTCGTAAGGAAAAGGCCAGTCAGCCACGAACTATAAACCCGTTCAACGGACCAACTGATTCCCACCATATTCATTGGTGCGTTAGCAGCTTCGACCTTTTCGGTGCAGCCCGATTCCCGTCCATTCGGAAAATCGATACAGGGAATCAGGAATCAGCCAAGGCTAGAGCACAGATTTATAATCCAGAATTTATGTTGCCTCTTCGCTTTGCATTACCTCACATTATTGACGAATCATTATATCATGTCGACTGGAACGCCTTCCCGAGTGCACTGTAATATTGAGCAAAAGATCCTCAGCGCGTCAGCACAAGTTTGTAAGGCTAACACGCTTCCTCGATTACTCCCTGCCACATCCACTTTCTTATGAATATGACATTACTACGAGCAATCCTTTCATGTTCGATGGAGAAAGCTATGTAATAGAGCTTAGAATGCATGGTGCACAGTGCACAACGTCCTTCATCCGATTGTCCCAAACCATGGCCGGCGTCGTATCTATCTAAAGAAATTTGTCATTTGACTACTTGCTTTTCTTATTTTTCCATTGTACAGTACATATTTCAGATGGTGTGCAGTCCGTACCTAGATCACAGGGCTATCTGCTGCATACGCCCGAGTCTATCACGTTCCTTACCTTTTATACAGAGAAAATATGTAAGCAGTGATCTCTTATCATCAGGCTTCAAGTTCTCGAAATATTTTATTTTTTTGGAATACTGATGATTCCTGCAACATAGACTTCATCGGTAAAACATATCTTTCATGCGCTTTCGCCGGTTTGAGTTTGGAATTTACAAGACCACTGTCTAAGGTTAAGAGAACGGATGGACAGGCCATCGTCTACAGCCCCAGTAAAACAGTGGCATTGGTAGTGCTGTGATGGATGCTCGATCAAAGGAGCCCCCTCAATCGCATCGGTCAGGAATTAAACGTCATTGGGATGACGATACGAAAATACCGGCACAAGGAGACGGAAGTGGTAATGGTTGGCATGGTGGAACATTACCACCAATTGAAGCTGTAGCATTTCCGCGACATCCAGTATCAGACAATCCAGACAACTGGGGGGTAGAAAACGACCATTATACTCAGAATGGAGGAAGTTCGGTAATGAAAAGGTCGCGCTATGAGGGTAGTGATAGCAATGGAAAGCTGAGGGTGGTTGCGGACGTTCTTGGGAAGATGCCCGCATCACAGGCATACTGTAGGTGTCAAGGATAGTCTAGAAAGAACGCCACGTTTATTCACTAACTCAAGCCTTACCCTTTAGATCCAACTAAGTATGATCATGATCGGACGATTCACAGTACTTCCACTCTTGGGCAACCTTCCCGGTTGACCGTAAATGGTCCGGTGGACTCACCTCAAGATGTGTCTAATATATGTCGTCAATGCAGGCGGCAGAGTGTGTTTGATCACGAAGAGGAATCTTTACCAGAATGCTGCGAGCATTGCCAAAAGAACCCTGAGCTTGCCCTTGTTACGCAGGCTTGCAGCATTGGGCTTACTCAGCTAGCGGAGACCCTCCGTTCGGGTATAGATTCCGAGAAGCGTGGTATCAATCCAGTAAGTATCAATAAAACGTTTGACTTTTGTTACCAACAGAGGCGATTGTGTTCATGCTTGTATGTGATCCTTAGAATCGTGCTTACAGAATACTAGGCCCACTCAAAGCTACGCTTTCTTCCTTCTGGTGATCCACCTCCAGTTATCGACTTTGGTCTGAAACAGACTCTCCACTGGATACTCACCAAGATCAATAAGGTTAATGAGCTTGCCGATAAGTTTGTGCAACAGGATCCTCCTAGCAACTCGAAAGCCTCCTTCAATAAGGATGTTCTCAATGCGATCAATGGCGCGACCCAATACGGTCATTTAGACATCATGAAACGACATATCGATGATGACCACCAGAGATATATGATGAATAACCTGGATGGTTCTGATTCTAGAATGCATCAAAGGCGCAGGTCTTTAGCTAAATCAGTCAGCGAAGAACTTCCTCCTATAAGAACTCAATCTTCTTATCACCATATCCCTTTGCCCGTCAACAACACGAGCGAGAGGCTCCCAAGTATGAATCATCCACCCGGCCCAACACGACAATTACCATCCCCACCAGGGCGAGCTTTTCCGTCTCCGACGTCAGCCAATTTTTCATCTCCCTCGGTGTCGGCATCACACCCAGGTTCGTCTGGTGGCCCGTCTCAGTCACTAAGCCTTCACACTTCTAGCAACGTTCTGCCCTCCATCACAAACGAGCAGTTATCGGACAGCGTATTGCACGTTCACACAGCGGCGCTCCAACACGAGGTATCCATACAAAAGATCGCGTTATCATCGCTGCAGGGCGAGCACGATAAGCTCCTTGCTGCTTTCTCACGCTCTCAAAGTCGAGCAAGCGCCCTTGAGAAAAAGCACCAGGTTTCCGACATAGAGATTTTCAGCCTCACTGAAGAAAAAGCGAGATTAAATGCCCAAGTTCTCGAATTGGAGGGAGACATCGAAGATCTTTCGAAAAGTAGGGATACCTACAGGCAAGCAGTGGTACAAGAGGGGGCACAGTATGTTGAGATTGTGAAGATGGCTAGTCAACTAGAAGAAAAGACCGGGGAAGAGAGAAAGAAGTGGAATAAAATGAAACTTGAGATGGAACGAAGGATTGAAGAATTAAGTACGAAGATAAAGATCCATACGCAAGACTCTAGCACAATCTCACGCATGCCGGGAGGAATAGGAAGAAATACACCATCGTTTAGCGAGGACAATAGATATGAAGGATCAACTGGTATTACATCAGTAGAACCGACCAGCAGCACGCAGCTCGGTGCAAAAGACGACCGGGTAGATGCTCTTAGAGCAGAGATCGAGCGCCTGCGAGAGCGTTGTGAAGAAGTGGAAGCCGCACTGAGGGCAGTAAGGCAAGAAAGTCGATTAATGGAAAGTATTATCGAAGCGTTGGGCAGAACTGGAAGAGGTATTCTACAAAAGGTTGAAAGTGTGTCTGTAAGTCCTAAAATACATGCTGAATCGCAATCGAGCCTACGACCCGAGCCAGACGAGGACCGCGTATTACTCGAAGAATAAAAATTTCACACGATATACAATATAGGATGTCGTTGTATATGATGTGTCTGCCTACACAGGAAGTGGGCGGGCGATAGCACCTAGTTATTGCAGGAGTAGAGGAGGTTTTGTTCAAAGACATGAGTGTCTAGGTGGTGTTATGGATTTGTGTATGGATAGATCTAGGCGATTCATGGTGTCTTTATAGAAGGAACTTTCCAAGGATTATCAGATATGTTCGATGTAGATGTCAAATGATGGTTTTGATATTCGGTAATCATCATGTCGACACAAGTAACGCAGCCTACATTGATATTAGAAGATAAGTGAATTACATTGTACAAGATGTATCCGTCGTACAGAAGTTATAAAGACTTGTTTGAATATAAATATCAGACAAATAAGACTTTTTCCACTGCTTGTTTATTAGATGATCGTCTACGAGTACCTACCTAATGATATATAATCAAGTATTATAAACCTCAACATTATAAATCATAACGGGTGTTTGTTTCATTATGGAAATACCATCCTTGATATTCCATTGGTCACTATTACCTCCGACGCTGTTTTTACCGCCCACCAGTTAAATCATTAAAATCATTAAAATCATCAAAGCTCTGTTTCCCGCGACGACTCTCCTACAAATCTGTAACCTCACGACTCCTCACTGTCCCTTGTTCCCCAATCCTCTGCCCTTAAAACATTCGTCACTGAGCCTCAAGACATGGATGTACAGTAATTCCGTGACAAGGATCCGAAACGCCAGTGAATTATCTCTGTCTCATATATTTTAGGGTTTTAGGGTTTTAGGGAGCGCGTCTCCTCGTCGTAAGTTTCGACTTACTTCTCTTCTTTCTTCCTTTCTTTCTTTCTGTATTTCATACGTTGTTTCTGCATTGTTAAGAATCGTGCTACTACTCGCCCTCTGTTGATCGGATTGAATTCTTCACCCTTCGCATTGATTAGCAGTCAATCGTTCGCACTTTTAATAAACGATACTCCCAAAGTCGAATCCGTCATAAGGCGCTCTTCTGAAGCTTACATCAATTCAACTTGTCGATTTAAGTCTCGTCTTGATTCCTCATCCATACGTCACCGCTCCCAAGTATCCACACAGCACAACAAGTAAAAATGGGACAAGCGTTTTCAGGCCCTAACGCCTTCAAGTGGCTGGGATTCACGCCCAAAGCAACGGCTGTTCTACAAGCAGATCCTTTTCTCTTCGTCCAATTGATTCTAGTGCTGATTGGATTGTCCGTGTTAGTTGGAATTGCTTGGTGGATTCATTACGAAACAAACAAACCGTATGCGAAGCCGAAGGTCAAAAAGGATGCGAAGAAGTAACTTGGGGATGAATGGCCACTAGGTGTGATGAGTGATGGGACCGGAGAGGCTTTATAGGTTTCCGCAAACCTAAAAATGTGGAGAGGATGTATCGAATGGAGCGAGGAAACTCGAAGCGATGTGCTGGGCACTGGATAGATATGATATCTGAGTTGGACAAATAATGAGTGGTTTGATTCGAATTACAGGAATTTTGAATGTTGGTGGATGGGGTATAACGCGTGTGTGTTTGGGATTGACTGGATGGTGGTAAGAACATGAGGGTTAATATCCCGGAGACGTGTGTTTGTTTACAGATTTGCTTCCGGAGTGTTTGGCATTTGTGTCTTGTTTCTGCATTTTCACCTCGCTTCTGAAATGTAATTTGAGATAAAAAACCACTTCATTTTCCAAAATTACTTGGCTTTCTATATTTACGCCCTCGGATGGTACCTCCACCAACCTCCAAGCTTCAATGATGATGCGACATGTATCCCGCAACATGGCAGCTCAGATGGCCTGCATCATGCACCGAGCGCGTGACGTTGAAAATGATAAACGCAAGAGCTCTCAAGAATGTATATATTTCACCTCTGCCCTTCAGCAAAGAGCTTCATTTTTTCAACGCAGGAAAGCCCCTCGTTTACGTGATGTATTCTCAAGAGGTTTTTTTTTGTGCCGTTTGGGATGTGACACAACTTGAAAAGTGCACCACCGCACACATAATCATCACCATATCTCGAAAGCATTGTCGAATTTTGCCTAGTTCGTCAAGTACAGTATCATGATGTAGACGACAGATCCATGAAGTGAAGCATCAAAGCAGATTGCTACATTATTGATAGGACAATACCTATGGCATTTGAGGTCATGTTTCGGGAGTCACAGCAATATCTGTGGTTGCAAAAGAGGTTTAACCTTTTAATGGTCAAAAGTATTTTTTTCAAACAAAAGGCTAGACAAAATACATGGTTATCGCTGTTTCAATCCACCAAGCCAACCTATGGACGTGCCAAATCAAGTCTACTACGACGGTCTACCATATCCACAGTATTCCTCGCATGCGGCTCGCCTTTCCCCATATTCACACCATCTGCCCACGGTATCTCTCCCGTCAGCCATCTCCTCCCTACATTCCTTTCACTAAGCTCTCTCGCCATAATCCTGAGGGGTATTTCCAGAAGCTCCCTCGTCTCTCGGCGCTTCTCCAATTCTTCATAGATACGCTTTTGTGCGCGCTCCATTCTTTCTCCCTCCCATACCATATCTTGCAGCCGTTTCTCCAATAATTGCATTCTCTTGTATGTCAATCGTTCCTTCTTCCCCCAAAACGACGCCTCGACGGGCACATAGTGGTCGTCGAGTCTTGGTAGAAGCCTGGCTAACGTATTGAATTCGTGCAGGCCCGTGGTGTAAGCATCTTGCAAAGAGCGTGATTGTTTCTGAGAAAATTCTAATTCCAGGTCCAAACCAGAAGTCGATTTTATAGATTGGTGCTCCTTTGGAGGCAAGGGAACAATGCTTGTATCGTATCCATATGGCCGATCATAACACTCGTCGAGATACGGCTGGGTGAAAGAGTCAGCGGGGAACGTGCGTGAGATATATCTCCTCTTTTTGGTGGGTTGAGCCGTTGCAAACTTAGAAACATTATCTGGAGTCTCCCATATTTCAGACCCGAAATTGCCGCGAACTTTTTGTCCCACAATTCTATTGTCGGGAGCTGGCTGTTGCAGTTTGAGTATGAGATTGGCGACATTGCAATACTCTTTCTGCCTAAAATTGTTTGGAATTGGCGTGGGGCTATAGATGATAGCGGAAGTCGTGGACAGTACGTTAGATGAAGGGGCATGGCTGAAGGGCTTTTCTGGAAGGAAGTGACTACCAGACTTCACGGTTATGCTCTGAAGCTCGCATGCTGAATGGCCTGTAGCTGAGGTATTTCCTGCAAGGCCGAGCAGATATTCATCCCCTAAAGAATATGGTGGCGGAGGCACTGATGGAAGCGAACTATCATCGTTATTTAAAGGTAGTATTGGCATTTTCGGGTCAGGACTTCGTGAGCCTCGAATGAGTGTTCTCACATCAAATTCATGCTTCTCTAACATGATGATACGGTACCAACGATCTTCCGAACCTTCCTGTGCCTATGGTACTATCGAGAGAGGAGAGGGATTGCACAATTTTGAGGCACTGTTGTACGAGCTTTTCGAAGGTGATAGTGATGGTCGATGAATTTATATTAGCCCCAAAGTATTTTGGAATGTGTATACTGCTGTCGTTCTATGCAATAAGATAATCAATGATGAGATCAAATAATATAAAAACGCTGGTTCACCGATCAAGTCTGATAGAAATAGATGTGAAAAGGTAGGTATTTGGGAGTCAAATGAAGAAAGCTAAGATGAAAATTGTAAGGACATACATACATTGAGGTTTCCTGGACAACTGGTAACATGCCAAACCTTCCTGGCAAGAAGGCACTCTGGAGAACAGGAACATTGCACAATGCATAATAGTGTTAAGATGCTAGGTCTGCATCGTGATTTGAGAGTTTTTGATTTTGAAGCAAGAGCGACTTTGCTTCCTAATTACTCAATTGATTAGAGGCATTAATTCCCAATATTATGTAGGAGTAATTCCGAGGAATTGAAACCGTAATTCTTTTATACATGGTAAGGAAAGCTATCTGCCCTCCTCTTGATATTGCTTGTCGTTTTCAGTTCATGAGGCTGTAAATATGGAAATCATGGCCTCAGTATATATTACTACTTATTCACTTGCTGGCTGAAACCTTCCTTTTATCGCCCTTAACGGCAGTGGCTACTTTCTTCTCCGCTTTGGCGAAGACAGGCCCAGTAGAGAAGATATTAGGTAAGAACTTGCCAACTCGGGCCTGGTATTGCTGATAATCTGGGTATTTCTTGGCGGTTATGAGCTCAGTGAACCAAGTTGAGCCCTGGAAGAGAACTAAGTACGACATAGCACCGACAAATGTCCAGTTGAACACTACTTCGCTGGTCCAACAGCCCCACATGTATAGAACAACCCATATAGTTTGTTCGGCGGCGAAGTTTGGATGCCTGCTCAGGGACCAGAGACCAGAGGTAACGAAACCACGGTCGAGAGATTCCTGGTCAAATCCTCCTTGTACTTTAGCGGTCTTCAAGTATTGCTGCTTGGCGGTTTGATAGTCTGATTTTGAAATGTATTAGCTATGCACAAAAAGAGACAGCCGTAATCACATACTCCATTGTTGCCCATCCGCAAAATACTCAAGCACCACAAGAGTCACAAGACCTCTAGAAAATATCAAATCTGCCGTCGTCCATTGCGCTCCGTGTCGTGCAGCTAAGAGCATAACATATGATGGGGTTGCGACTAGAAAGAGCAGAATGCTTTGCGCAAGTGATATGAAGGTGACATTGAAGACGAAGAAGAGTGGTGGGGGTATGTTATTACGAAGGACCTCCCTTGACAGCAGTGGTTAGCAAGGAGATGAGCGACCCTATCCGAAGGAAAACATACCAGCGGTAGTCTTCGGATCCAATGTTATATCCACCTTTCCTCCAGTAATTGAAAGTCAAACGCAACTGCAGTGTGTCAAAACCGAGTACATTAGGAGGGCACATTACATACACTCCATATTGTGCTAAAAGCTAGAACGTTGTCTAGTCGCCCAGTAGGTAGGCCGCATAGATGTGCATAGATGGTAAAATGGGCATTATAAATGGTAGGTAAAATACTCCAGCATCTGTCGACCTGAGAATAATTTTTGTTGACTTCTGAAACCAACAAGAACACAGGTGCTAAGAATAACGAAAATGCGAAGGCAGATATGAGCGGATTCGTAGCTAGGTAGATATCTCGGAGCTCGGTAGGATTGGAATATGATTGAAGGATTTGCTGAGGAAGGTCGTACAATTGTGGTAGATATGGCAGGACTGTCTTTGTGATATTCGAGCAATCCTCAATTGTTTTGATGACTGGCAAAGTCATACTTGCGGCGAGTTTATCTTCGCTTTGCTTCAAATTGGAGAAGTAGGTGATAGTCAAGGGAATTGAGCCAATCTAGTATATCTTCAAGAAATATTGACTTGGGGCGAAATGAATTGGAGAGAATTGAAGAGAGTTAAAAAGAGTTGAAAAGATGTTGGAGTGAAGCTTGGAGCTCTAATAAATCAATGACAATGACATCGATTTCCATTTAGCGGGGATCTATCTGATTATCGGCTTGGCATAAAAGAAGCTACCAAAAGCTACCGACCAACCAATCATTGAGTTTAACCTTGTTGATGAGTTTCATAAACTGCATAATAAATGTATAACTGCACAGAATTGTTTTCCTACAAACAAGGCTACGCACAAGGCTATCATATAAAATCTTGTCAACTGAAGGGACAACAGGAATATCACTTCTGTACATACCTAATCTCTACTTTAGCAGTTCAATTTTCTGGTACATACCTACTACCACTTGGTAGTACTTTATGATACGCTTTCGAGTCTATCTCCCAAAAGACATATTCTAAGATCTTACAAAGTTGGGTGACAAACCATGTTCCTTGGGGTCAAGCCGTCCCTGTGTTTGCACCATAGATGTACCGTAGAGGGAATATAAGGTTATAGAGTTATAGTTCCCCAAGGCTTTCCGAGGTTAGCAAATGGAAATAGGACATACTTGGATCGGTCGTCAAGATGGCTCCAAAGATTCTTTGTGTTGCAGAGAAACCCTCTATTGCAAAAGCTGTGGCTAATCATTTAGCAGGAGGTAGTGCGCAGGCTGTAAGTCACCGGTTCAGATTTCAGATTTACGACGTCAGCTAATAATCAAATCAAGTCAAGTACTCGCAACAAGTACATCAAGAATTACACATTCACCTTTGATTTCGGTGGACAATGGGGTAATTGTAATGCAGTCATGACATCTGTATCAGGACATCTTACCTCTCTTGATGTTGCCCCATCCCACAGGAGTTGGACTGATCCTCCACCTAAATCTCTCTTTTTTGAGGCGCCGGTCATCGAATCTATTGCTGAAGTAATTTTTTATCATTCCATTTGTTCGAGTCTTTTCCACTGATACATTTGTGTAGGACAAGAAAGTGATTGCACAGAATATTGAGTCTCAAGCAAGAGGTGCTAGGGCTCTTTTCATATGGACTGATTGTGACCGTGAAGGGGAGCACATTGGCGGCGAAGTGAGAGACCAGGCGCTAAAAGGTAATCCACGAATTGAGGTTAAGAGAGCAAGGTTCAGTAACATTGAGCGGGCGTACGCACATCTGCACTTTTCGAATTCGAGTTGCTGCTGACTGCAATAGGCATGTGATTCAAGCAGCTAAGCATCCAGTCGATCTAGATCAACGTCAAGTAGATGCTGTAGCTGCTCGTATAGAACTTGACTTAAGAATTGGCTACGCGTTCACACGCTTTCAGACGACCAATCTTCAGAAGTTAGGAGGACCATTGGCAGACAAAATGCTGAGCTATGGTAATTACTTTCATTCATGTCGCCACAAGGGATTTATGTACTAATAGCGTTTTAGGGTCGTGTCAGTTCCCTACACTTGGTTTCGTCGTTGATCGGTATTTCAAGGTGAAGAACTTCGTGCCTGAACCATTCTGGAGCATCAAGATTACGCACAGCCGGGAAGATATGAATGTGATTTTCAACTGGAAGCGCAATCGCTTATTTGACCGAGCGGTTGTCATCATACTGTTCGAAAGGTGTATTGCTGCAAAGTTTGGCAAAATCACCAAGGTACAGGAGAAGCCAACCAAAAAGTGGAAGCCACTCCCTCTAACCACGGTTGAGCTACAGAAAGCAGCTAGTCGCTGGTTGCATATGAACAGTCAGATGGCGATGACTGCAGCTGAGAGCCTCTACAATAAAGGATTCATTAGTTATCCTAGAACTGAGACTGATCGCTTCGATAAAGGAATGAACTTGAGAGCTTTGGTGGAGAAGCAAATCCAAGATAACCGTTGGGGTCAGTTTGCTCAAAATCTCATCAATGGAGGCTTTCGCTGGCCTCGAGACGGTCGGAACGATGATAAAGCACATCCGCCTATTCATCCTGTCATATACGTTGCTCCGACTGCTTTAAAACCAGAAGAGGCACGAATTTATGAATTTGTCGTCCGAAGATTTCTAGCCTGTTGCTCAGAAGATGCTAAAGGGCAGGCAACTGACGTGGAGCTTGAGTATGGAAACGAAATATTTCAGACGCACGGATTAGTTGTGCTAGAGAAGAACTATCTAGATGTCTATATTTACGAGAAATGGAACAGTAGCACGCCATTGCCAAAATTTGCCCTTGGAGAGAGTTTTGAACCTGATGAGGCCATGATCACGGATGGGAAGACGACAGCTCCGGGATATCTAACGGAGCCCGATCTCATCGCTTTAATGGACGCAAACGGAATAGGTACCGATGCAACTATGGCGGAGCATATTGCTAAAATCAAAGATCGTGAATATGTATTCACGAGGCCCAAGGCGGGCGGGGCTGCCGCTGCTAGCTTTGACGACAACACGCCAGCTGCAGGTCGAGGAGGGCGTGGCGGACGTGGTGGGCGTGGTGGAAGAGGGGGAAGGGATGGGAGGGAAGATAGGGGAGGCGCTGCTGCTGATGTGGGAGGCAGAGGTGGAGTTGAAGAGTTTATTCCGACCACACTGGGAGTTTCCCTGGTGGAAGGCTATGATAACATGGAATTTGAAGTCAGTCTCAGCAAACCATTCCTGCGAAAAGAGATGGAGCTCAATATGAAGGCGATATGCGAAGGCCAGAAGACACGTCGTGACGTTGTCCGCGAAAGTCTAACACAATACCAACGAGTGTTCCTCGACTCCACAGAGAGATTAGCTGTCTTGAAAGCAGTAAGTGAAATCATTGATTTCTTTCACACGTTCCCACAATCATCACGACGTCTAACACATGTTGTCTTTAGGCATGCAGAAAATATGTGCTTAATGATGGAGCTGGGCGTTAGCAATACCCATTTGATCTGGCTGCATGGCTGTTTGCAAATGACTGCATGAGTGGTTAGCGTTCTTGTTCCATCAAGGTACCAGGCCGGTCTACAGTGCTGCCTCGGTTTAACATGAAGGATTGGGCATGAAATATCACGAAGGAAGAAATGTACAGAGTGCAAGCTTTCGAATTGTCCAAGGATGTTGGACATTTGGCCCTTCCATGAGGACCGTAATAAGTTTTATTGTTTTTCGATTCCGTTCCCAAAGTCCGGTTATCGGTAAGCCAACTTCAATAAGATTGTACCAGTTCGTTATCCGCACTTCCCTGGATCATGTGGCTTTCTTTGGGAAGAAGCACGATAGCGATCGAGTGGTTGATGATGGAAGTATGAAACTGGCATTAAATGGTCAGAGGAAAGAAGTCAAGGTTTGGCCGGTTTCGCAGTTTTCGTCTGGTTCATCCGGGTAAAGTTCACGGAAGCGTTAAATCGTTATCAAGGCAAGATTGTGGAACGTGGGGGATGGTAGTGGCCCTTACAGCACGAAATAGCGAGCGTTTTTTAGTACCGTACAGGAGCAAAGTGGGTCAATCACCAACTCCTATTCTATCACCAGCAAGCTCGGTTTACGAGGAAAATGGCTTCGCATTACGATTCGTACCAATGGTTATAATGTGTCTGCTGATCAGGGACTGGTGTTGGCCAAGAAACCAATGAGAAAGATTTGAAAGCAACGTGAATGTCCTTGGTTCAATTGTGCTTTTAGAGGGTACCAAGATTTACATAGTAAGGAACGGTCGGATGGTCCCTCAACGTCCTTGGTTGGTGAGTATATCCGAGACAAGCAGATTTTTCTGTAGAGTCAGAAATTAGTGGAAGATTATTTATGAATGTATTAGTTAGATCTTCTAAAGTATGCGTGAAGAGTGCGTGGAGCGGACACTTGTGGAAAGTCCGTCGATCACTGAATAGATTAGGGCTTTTTAAGGTTCGGATGACAGGTACGGTAGGGTTTAGATAGGGAGATAGCCTAGCTAGCTACCACAAATTGATATGTAAATATCCAAACGATAAATTCTCGTATCCTCTGACGATAGATACCTACTTACTGCACGACTTTGATAATGATATAAGTGAGGAGAGTTTCTTTGTCGGAATGTGGCTTGCTGGTTATTCCTCCGTAGTTTCTACAGTGACTAAAAGCCAGTATGACGTTGGACGAGAGAACCCTCGATCTAGATGTGGTAAGACTTTCTTTCGATTCTCGGATTTTCTTAGTTGCTCAGGTGAGCAGGCAAAATAGCTCACATAGGTGTGCATGAATAGATATTATCTTAGCATCTCAGTATTAGCTGAGCATCTGTGCGAATAGTCCATCCTTTTGAGGGAAATAGTAAATACAAATAATACCTAGGTAATCAATGATTTCGCCAAGCTGAACTCAAAATGATGATTCCCGGGGTTTCCACCTTAGTCATCAATGTGTGTATTTTGAGTGAAATAAATGTACTCGGTATAGATTTATTCATTCATCAATGACTGGATAAATAAATACTTGGATATCTTACCTATCTAGGTAGCAGTAGTAGAACAAGTCACAGTCACTGATAAAGAACAAAATAATACTCTACAATATTAATAAATATAAATGAAACCAATAACCATTCTTACTTTTCAACATTTCACATAGTGAAACTGACTTGAGATCTTACATGAGGAATTGCATAACTCGTAGTATCTACACCTAACTCTGACCTACCCATCTACAATCTATGATAATCTACCTATCTATCTAGTACACAACACACACTCACACTCACACTCACACTCACTACATCTGCCACGCCTAGATTCCCCAAACTTACCCAGTATTTACATTAACTAACCAGGGTACCATGTAAGACATTCCGGTCTATTCCATTTCATTAATCCTCCCTTGGATAGACAAGTGAAAACACAGTAAAAGGCTGCGCACAAACGGCAAAACCAACCCAAGGAAGGATCGAAAGAACCCAAAGAACCCAAGGAGAACAAAAGACAAAGAGATATGATATGCTAAATAGTAGCCCTAAATAGTAACAGCCATCACAGATAGAGATATATTTATCGATATGTATATATAATCGATATAATTAATTCCATTATTCTGTTGTTCCATTATTCAACCATCCCATCATCCCATCATTCCATCATTCCATCATTCCCTTATTCTCTAATCAACAAAACCCCTAGACCTTTCATTCCATATATTCCATCTTTTCCTCAAAACAAAGTCGCTACTTTCCTCTCTACTTTATTCCTAAAACTTATCACATCTTCTCCTCATTCTTTCCAATCGCAGCAGAGCAGTCAGTGTTGGTTTGCTCATCCTTTTAACTCCCACTCCCACTTACTTCAGTTGCTTCCTTCTTGGACCCGATCACAACTAGCTCAGTTATCTTGTCTTGACGCCCACCATCACCATCGCCATTACATTTACCTTTACATCTCCAACTACACCTTCGTCGTGTTTTTTTTTACGACAAGGCCATAATTTGCCCAGTTCGCTTTTTCAACACACGATCAAACAGTTGCTTTGCACTACGTTGCCAATTTATTGAACTCGCTCATAACCTTCCGATCGCAAATCGATCTGAGTCAGCCCGTCAAGGTGTCGTTGCATTCTGGTGAGTCACCAATTTCAATTCAAACGCGCATTGCTTTTCTCGAGGATTTAAAATACTAATATTTGGTCGCGCACTTACAGAGAAATAAATCCACTGAACCATTAACCAAAATGGCTTCCGCTGCTCCCTCTGCTCGCAGAATCCCATCGACATTCGGTCGAGACAGCTTGACTGCTGTAGCGGCTCGAAGTGTTCCCGCCACCAATGGCCATACCCTTCCAACTCCTCCGAATTCTATTTCTCCCAATCTGCCTCCGCATGTTATCAAATCACTGGGTACCCGTTCGCCGCTCCCTCAGCTCAACTTGGAGCATGTTGATTCCGACCTAGATTTACAAGATGGGAGTGGAAATGAAGGAACTTCAGATGTCGGATCGCCAGGGTTGGATACTACCGGTGCTATTACCTCTAGTCTATTGGCTAAGCACCATCTTCCCGAAATTTTACTGGATCACGGCCCACTTGCTATTCGCCACATCATGGGCTACCTCACCACTTCAGTTCCCGGCTTTTCTGGCATTCCTCCCGCGAAGGCTAGAAGACTCGTGGTGGGTGCTCTCGAAGGACGTGGAAATGGCGGTGAGCCTGGCGGTGTAAAGGGAAATGTGTTGTTCGAGAAAGTGGGTTGGGGCCGCTGGGACGCGAGGCTAAAGGGACACCCCGCGAGAATGGGTCGAGCCTTTGGTAATTCACCATCGCCGAGTTTACCTGATTCCTATTCCATGGGGATGCCAATCGCCAACAAGCAAGGATGGTCGTTCACTCGAACACGTCTCAATGAACCAGGCTCAAGTTGGGCCGGTGATTCGGCTTTTTTTTCTCATGGTGATGATGTCTCGATGCCTGATGAGGCTGACAAGATGTCTTTAGATGGTGATGAGTCCGGTTCTTCCTCATCCGAGCAAGGAGGAGATGTAATGATGGAGGATGACGATCCAAATGATGTGACGGATGAGGAGGATTGGGCAGCGGTCGGAGCCGCGGCATTGCGCGCAGCTTCCTATTCAACCTCTGGACCGCTTGCATCTGGACCACTTCCACAAATTTTCAATTCTCATGTATATAGGGGAGGTTTCCGCCCTAGTGTTGGTCATTCCAATCCAGCACCAGCACGAACCCACACCCCCAACAGTTTCACAGCTTTGAACCTAGCTTCCGCGGATTCTCAAGAACGGGAGGCTATAGAAGCACTTTTACGACTTGGTTCTGTATAAATTTGAGCATGGAGTTTTGGGATGGTTGCATATGGTTGGGATTAGCGTGAACCAATTGCCGGCGAGCATTGATCGAATTGTTTTTATTTTCAGCACGCGAAACGACGAATGGGGAAGGATTTTGAAATGGGAATTGGGATATGCCCCCTCGCACCAGCGAGTACGGGAGCATGGCGTTTCTGACATTTCCGATGGGAAAGTGGGTGATGTCCTTGAGCCTGTGCTAATCCTCGTGCGCTCGGTATCTCCACTTCTACACACGCTTTACTTTTGCACATACTTATTTTTCTATATTCAACAACTGCGCCACTAACTTTACCGGCGCCATTTTAACTACGACGATCACGAAAACTTATTCAACATTCACATCTTCATCGTAAGAACATTAACGGATGAAAAAAAAAACTCTTCACTCAGATCAAAATGGATGTGGTTTTATTAACTTTATACTTTCGCAACTTTATCATCTTTAATACCCCCTTGGCGACGCGATTTGAATGGATGCCAGAGATGGCTGGGGACATCATTTTGGAAGGAGAAACCTACGAGGTGCAGGCTAGAGAGAGAAAGGTGATCTTAGAGGGCAAAATGGAAACAACGTTCCAGCTTAGGAATTATTTTTGAGCGCTTAGCTGCAGTCTCGAGATTAGAACTTAATGCATGGAGTTTTTTCGTACTCTAACCGATTGCTTTTTTATTTGTCGTGATGTTATTGCCATCTGCTATGTGAAATAATTTGAGACGAGGTATGGATGAGTTACAATGGAGGCTCTGTACGCACTGGTTCAACGAGAAACCATGGATAAGTCTGAAATCTTGAAAGCTGGAAAGGATAGATGGTGTGTGTAAGTATGAAGAATGATTGCCAACCGCCTTTGGGTAATCTGATGACGCAGTTCTTGGGCAAAAGCACCAATTTCTCACGCCCCGGCCGATATTCTCGATTTATTTCGCAGTTCACTGGAAATTCTTTGATAGATGTCTTTATGGTTCATTGCCATATTTTTATCTCAAGGTTCTTAATGCAGAGTCGAAGGACTGTAGAAGATCACACTTTCCTCCCCTTTCTACGTATAAACTCCATTACTACTATTACTTTTTTTTTGGTTAGGTGGACGGCTGGATTCACGCCCACCGCCATCCACACTTAAAGTATAAACGATAATTCACAGGGCAGGCAATGCCATCTATCTAGGTAAAAATGTCAAGTTTCTGATTCATTACCCTCTTATTACCCTCTCACTACTCTCTCACTATTTTCTCATTACTTTTTCACTATCCTTCTATTACCCTTTCATTATCATTTCACTATACTCTCACTGTTCTCTCACTACCCTCTCATTACCCTATCACTTAATTCCCATAATCTAGCTTGGTTACCTACTCCAACCACATAATCCTGAGATACAGGTCTGAGAGCGTTTCACCCGTTCAATCCCGTGTCGTGGATGATAGATGGATCCAAAGCTGCAACTGTGATAGTGTGGGACATCCTTCCTGGAGAGTTTTCGGGGGTCCAGAAGTAGATAAGTAGGAAAGGACCTATATGATTGCTGCCAAATTGCAATTAGACTCCATCAACGGTTGCCTGACAGGTTGGGATGGTCATCAACCCCTGTTATTGATCATGGTATCGATTTTTTCGACAAGGTCACCGATCAATGCCGCAGCTTCTTTAACTGAATTTTGAGAAGCGAGATCAGCACATATAAAATGTGTCATGATAGGTTGATTTAGAGCATGAATTTCTTCGATAACGGGAAGAACCTTCGGCTCTGAACGCCCAGTGAGGATTATGAGAGAAGAGGAAGCATGCGCAAGATATCGCTGCCTCTGCGCCGATGCTATCAGCTGAGGCACGCCCGTCATAAGTGTTGTTCCCTGGTCACAATGGAAGAGAAGTGTTGAGCTGCCGAAATGTCAGTGCTAGATTGGGAAAATATTAACAGTGTTGCTGAAGTGCTAGGTAGTGTATAGTAGGAATAGAACTGATAATATGCGCAACTATACCTGATAAAACACCCCTCTCGTGACGCAGTGTTATACTAATGGTGGTACGAAAGAGAGGCGGTCTTCATATACTTATGTTGATAACGCGTAATTCCTGACATCCCCATGATTGCAGCAGTGAAGTGTGATGATGAATAATCTAATATGGCTTCGACTTTTTGTATTCCTGGTAGCTGACTTACAGGAGAAGAAGACCCGACTCTCACTTGCAAATGCGAAACAGAAGTTCAACAATATGTATCACACCTCGCATCAAGCAATTCACGCGGCCAGAAGAATATAAAAATTTACCTTAGAACTCAGACCTTTGATCCTGTACGGGCAATTGTATATGGAGCGGGTTTAATATTTTATGTCACGTGACAGATGGCCTTGTGAGCGAAGTCGGTGGGACAAAGCGGAACACCCCCTTCTCCGGAACTTATTCTTTCCAAAGCAACATCCCTTCACTCCTCCTTCGCATCTCAGAAATAGGTCCTACGGAACTAGCGTTGAGACGTATGGACATCACCTTCATTACCCTCCAACTATCCATGTCTCTCTTGAATTCGCGAGGAAGATAAACGGAATACCGAGTTTCAGATGAAGCCACAGAACAAAGTCCCTCATCTACTCGAGTATGGTATTTGAACTAGTATTTATGGCTTATCTAGTACAATCAATGCTTGTTTCGTCCATTCGGTTTCAATGGTACAAGTGTACACCTTATTTTATCATACACATTGACCAATTTCAACTGTACAAATGTGTGAAGAGCTTTGGCTGAAATTGTTTATAAGTTTCATTAGAACTAGTGTTCCAAGATTTTAAAGAGGTGAAAATAGAGCATGACTCCATGCTAAACAACTTAAATACTAACAAATTTGTTTTGGAAAACATTGATTTCTGTTTCTCCCTCGCTGGTGATTGATAAGTACTGTCATTGTCATTGTCATTGTCATCGTCACTATCACTGCAAGATGTATTGCAATGGTTAGCAGCGTAGTATTTGCAAATACCCAGGATGAGGCAATATGACTAGCACACTTCTACCCAGCCACATGTTCAGTAACCTCAGAATATGCTGTTTAATTGCACTTTGAGAGTTAAGTTCTCCTGTATGGATGTACACGTCCTGCATCACGATCGTTCATATGTATATGTGTTTGTGTGTGTGTGTCATAACCAGCACGTGTTGAGTGAGGGGTTCATCATTTGTATGGCGACGCAATGGGTCCATTTTAGTAATTAGGCCCGGCACTGACATATTAATGAGGGCAGTTGGTTCGATTTCATAAGTACCAGAACTCACTTACGATGTCCAAGCTCTTGATTCAGCTCATCTCGTCTGCGAAATTATGGGCGTTCGTTGATTTGACAATTCTGTGTTCAAAATATAAGTCGGAAGAGACCTGGTGCGCCAGTACGAGATTAAGTTTCGCCTAAATCTAAATTAGGGACTGGCTCGTCTTTTGCTCGTCCTTGTAAGAAGAGTATTCGAGAACTCCTTATATCCTCCTTGAAGCCGAAGTCCTCAGCTCAGACGTCAACTTTAGGGGAACGGTGAGTGGCGGTTTTAGATTGGATGATCGACAGCACTAAGGTTCCCCAAGCCATGATGGATTAGCTAGTTATAACTAACAATAATTGCTGCAATAATCCAGTGCTAAAATTGCCATATCTGTCAAGACTCCAAAGACTTTCACCAGCTACCACAATTATCGCACATTTTTTCGAAAGCTTCACTTTCATATTGTATAAACACAAACTTGCATTATGATCGATATCGACAAGCGAACTGAATCGGTGACCACGTCAAACCTCAGTGAGGCATCATTACCTATAGGAGTGGATTCAATTTCACACATAATTCAAAAACTCAACGACCTAGGCCTTCAATTATCAAATGATAACATTATTAACTGGCTCCCGAATAATCGAAATCACCCTCGAAATTGGCCTTTGAAACACAAATTGGCCAATACTGCTTGCATCTTCTTGCTTGATACAATTAGGTGTGTGATTCCATGCACAGGCACTTGGAATGGAAATCAAGTTATAAACCTACTAGGGTATTTACTAAACCCGACGAAGTGCTATTATAGAATCAGGAGGCGTTCGTTCTCCCTATTCTTCTTTACGATAAATACTAAGATTCTCAACAGTTGATCGCGGCTACACCAGCGGCTGCAGAATATGGTATCTCTCAAACGCAGTCACTCATTGCATTTTCCCTCATGTAAGCATGCACCAGTTGTGGGTAGTCCCAACGTATCTTCTCATCTGGTTTATGTAGGTACGGAATCGGTGAAGCCTTGGGGAGCATTGTCTTTCCGCCATATTCAGAAGCTTTCGGAAGAAAACCGGTACTCATATGTGCTGCCCTCCTGTTACCGGTTAGTTGCCTGATTACTGGACTTGTGCCTTCCATTGCAGGGGCATATATCGGACGATTTATCATGGGTGCGGCCTCATCCGTTCCTGCTACCGTTATTGTGGGCAGTTTGGAGGATATGTGGAAGCCCGCAACCCAAGGTCATGCCATCTACGCGTGGGTCCTGTCAGCGGGGTTGGGAGTCTCTTTAGGGTAAGTGAAAATTGAACACCCTCTCGCAAGTGTTCAAAGATAAGAAGCATTGTTGGAGTGCAAGAAATACCGGGAACAACAGCTAAATAATCAAGCAGGCCAATATATGGAACTTACATCACCAGGGTACTTGATTGGTAAGTTGAGCTCTCGTTCATACACCCAACATTTTCATGTAAGTACACCCTGTAACTAATACAACTCCAAACACAGGCGGTGGTTGTATCATATTGGTGCTATCATTTCTTTTTGTGTATTTATTCTCCTCTTCCTAGGCGGTATCTCCGAAACCCGCCCAAGTAAACTGCTTGGAAACCATATCATCGCTGTGCAATCATACGCAGGTGTACTCAAAACCCGCACACAAACAGCAGAAGACCATGTTCCCAATTTCCGTACTTTTTGCCAGAGTGCCATTATTCAGCCAGCAAAACTATTCTTCCAGGAACCCATCATTTTTACGATGGCAACCCTAGCAGCCATAGCATTCTCCTTACTATTTCTTTTCACTGAGGCCCTAGATGTTGTATTCAAACCGTATGGATTTACCCAGACTTCATACTCATTAGCATTCACTGCATACGCCATAGGAATGATTTGTGGTATCCCAGTCAGATTGATAGAATTTCGTCATCTTGAGAAGCGTGCCGAAACGAAGCAGCTTGAACCCGAAGACAAAATACTTGGCTTTGCTACCGGAGCATCAGCTTTGGCGGCCGGTCTTTGGCTCATGGCTTGGACTACTCCACCTTTGGTTCATAGTATTGACTGGGTTGTACCAATGATAGGATTAGCAGGTGCTGGATTTGCGACTAACGAAATCGAATACGCGCTTGGGAACTATCTAGCGGATGTAAGTCAATGTACTCTTGCCTTTTCCTTTTACTCAGACTGATAAATACAGACGTACACAGTCTACGCATCTTCGGCCTTCGCCGCATATTCGACTCTACGAGCTTTACTTTGTGGTATATTCCCTCTATTCGCAGACCAAATGTACAATGATTTGGGCTCGAATGTCGCTGGTTCCATACTAGCTGGGATTGCTACTTTGTGGCTTATTAGTCCTTACATCTTCAAAAAGTATGGAAAGAAATTGCGGCAGAAGGGAAAGTTCGCAAAATTTAGTCTGGATGCCGATCAAAGTTCTCGGCAAGCGGAGCTCGATGCAGTGGGAAGGCAAATTTGCTGAAACTTTGGACAAAGGAATTTGATAGAATTTGCAGCACTCTCAAATAAGCAGGCTCGGCAGATGCTGCTACAATTAGAATCATGATTGATGGTAACTAAAATTGCAGCAGGCCGAACTTGGTTTTCTACTAGATATCATTATCGTTCCAGAGATCGTTTTAAAAGTAGGGAAGCTACTCACGTACTCTCATTCATCTTCGGCCAGAACCCGCCACACTTTTCAGCCCGTCTAATTTGATTATAGAAGCCTTTACCTTTCCATTCTTTAAAGAGAGAACTGAACATTGAAAGAATCCAGCCAAAATCCGCACTATTTGAAGCCAATCTGTGCAATTAATCGAACGAAACCGACTTCTATCGGACGGGTAGTTCCAATCATTCCACAATTCTTTTACTCTTGTCTTTCTTAATACCTTCGTCATCTGTATAACCCCTTCAAAATTGAGTATGTTGGGACAAGAATGGGCTTTTCACGCCCGGCTTCAAAATCCACCAACTTGCAATGAGTCACTCGAAGTGAATATTATCCCTACTCGTCCGCTCATTTTATTGTGCGCTCTCAACTTCGATTAACACATATACTTTGGATTTCACGTCTCGCGCCATTCCGGATTGCCCTTCAACATAAAAACATGGCTCTCACAGGGTACTGAAGCGCCTCGACCACCAGCAGTGTGGAGTCATTTTAAGTCCTGTGTTGGAGACTCTCATCAAGATAAAGACAAGAGAGAACAAAATTCGAAGAGCTTCTTGCAGCTCAGACGAAATTTGGTCTGGAACTTTCTGATCTCGGTCAAGAACGGGTCTAAAGGTTAACAAAAGAAAAGCTCGACGCCACTAAGTAGTCTTTAGCCGATCGGCCTTTTTGGCTGTTCTGTAAGTAAAAAGTTACTTGATTAATGCCTGTAATAAGGTTACATCGACCAACTATACGTCACAGCGTATCAATAAGACAATCGCTCAGGGGAACGTCACGCGATCGCTCAATATTCCTACACAGTATTGAAGAGTATCATAGAAGGCATGTCTGAAATATTTCAACGAAGGAAAGTTCGTCGCCGAGGAGGAAGCACGTATTGCTACGAGAGGAGAAGAAGCGAAATCAGAACTTGAGGTAAGATAGACTACCCAATTTGATCTGCTATTCATAAAATGCTAATGGTGTTAAGACAATTGAGGAACAATATAAGCAAGACTCGAGGTTGTCAATCACCCGCTGGCCTCCAAACCAAAGATAGGGCTCTGAAAGATACTATATCTCCAACAGTTTAGATGCCCGCAAGGGAGTTTTTGAACAGGGCATTCAGGGAAATTTTTTGGAGGGGAATGGATTCATATCGAGGGTCGGGGTCGGCGAGATAAAGAGGCCAACCGCCTGCGCAACAGCGACTGTCATGATGTCACATCGACCTAGACTTTACGCATTACAAGTTTCTTGGCTGGGATAATGAAGATGCTAGCTATACGGATTTCAGAAACATCTATGGTATTTTGCCCTAGAATCGCGAGCACAGTATGCGGGCAACCTTGTTCAAATTATTCTATCAAATGAAGTACACATACGATAAAGAAGCGGATACGCATTTCAAAAGAGTTTTTTTTGGGAATGCAGGAAGATTCTATGCTGGCGTAAACGAAGGCTGGCCTGCTGCGGAGAAAGGTAAATATTTTGATCGTGAGGATACCGAGATTGCGAAGGATGTAATGAATAACTTTTACGTGACGTGGGGAATTTCCGAGGCAAACAAATGCACAGATAGGCTATGGAAGTAGCGGGATTCGTTTTACTCGGAAAGCTGCCGGCCATATAAGGTATTTCAAGACGATCTGGTACAACGGCACGTAAGTCACTTATATGCTCGGCACGTGCAAGAACCATCACGCCAAGTTCTCTAGTTCCCTGGAGACGCTTTTTTTTTTTTTGGCAACAATAATGGGAAATTATTTGTGGTTTAGGGAGAGGAAATGAGCTAGTACAGTCTAACGATAATTAACAAGGGTCAAAGATTTGGTCAACAGTGAGAACGACGCTGAAACGTGACCAAACGTGACCTCCTAAAGCTCTTGTCTGTCTGAACTTTGTGTATCTAGTTTTATTTAGCTACATCCACAGCTTTCGGAAGTTAGTATAGGACTTGAGTATCGTTCATTGGATGGCACTGTTCACTGTTTCTACCCATTGCTATACACATATCTCGTTATATTGTCACAAGCTTTTGCGACCTTCATCGCAATACACAGTACGTTACATCCTGCTTATCTTCATAGAGAGTCAGTAATGTTTCATTGGATAATATCCATGTTCTGCAGCTTGCATTTAACATGCCCCCTTGTTCAACCCCGCATCATCCTCCTTCCCCGCATTCAAAGTGCCGTTTTTTAACTTATTTTTTCCATCACCAACGTTTATTTGTATATGGTGTCACCAAATCTAAAAAGTAGGTGGAGAATCTGTGGTGTTACAATACACAAAGTGTGTTCAAAATATTCCTCGGACGAAGTCCTTGCATCGAGAACCTTCAATTCTATCCTAACCCGGTCAATCATGACAACAGCCACAGAAACCTCAGAAAACATCTCAGCTACTCCTGGTTCAGAGATACACGACGACAAGCCAGTACAAGCTGAACACGAGACCGTGGACGCCACGCCCCCAGGCGAAGAAAGCCAAATTACGAAAGAATTAGATCGGCTCATTACGAAGAAATTCGATAGAAATGTTGTGCCGTGGTTATTTGGACTATGGCTGCTGGCTTTCATTGACCGCTCTAATATTGGGAATGCTAAGATCGATGGATTGGCTGCGGACTTGAATATTCTAACGGGAACAAAGTTTAATATTGCGTTGACTATCTTTTACGTACCCTATATTTGTGTTGATAGTATGCATTTTACCCCTCGCTCGATATTTGATGCTAATTCTACAATACAGTTCCGTCGAATTGGCTTGTTAAGAAAATAGGCGCTGGATACTACCTCCCCGCCTTAATCATAGGATGGGGCACCATAAGTCTCTGTATCGGATGGGTAGAAACATGGAACTCGTTACTAGCTGCTCGTTTTTTTCTCGGGCTCATGGAAGGTGGATTACTGGGAGGCCTGATAATCTACCTTGCCATGTTCTATCGTCGTCACCAACTCATGCGTCGAATCGGCCTCTTTTACTGTGCTGCTCCATTATCCGGAGCCTTTGGAGGTCTCCTCGCTACTGGGCTTTCGAAGATTAAAACTCCGGGGTATAATGGCTGGCCCTTCATTTTCTTTGTCGAAGGTGCTATTACCGTCATCTTTGGAATTGTGACGATATTTTTTCTGCCCCATACACCTTCCCACGCCAAGTTTTTAACGGAAGAAGAACGATATGTCGCTATCCATCGTATGAAACTTGATTATCGTGGAGCTTCTCCGGTTGCCAACATAGATAATGAGAAATTCAATTGGCACTGGGTAAAATTAGCCGTGTTCAATTGGAATACTTGGTTACTTTCACTTAACTTCTTTGCCGTCATTACTCCTATTTATTCCTTTTCCCTTTTCCTACCGACTATTATTACTGCGCTGGGTTATACTCGTATAAATGGTAACTAATCCACTTCCCCCCTTTTCATTCTTACCTATTTCTTATAAAACGCCAACCTAACAAACCATCAGCAAATCTCCTAACCGTCCCTCCAAACATGGTCGCCTTCCTCAGCGTAATCCTCGTCACATCTCTCTCAGACTACTTCAAGCGCCGCGGAATCTTCATGCTCATCTGTTCTAGCATCGCCATAATCGGCTATATAATGCTCATCACCATTTCGAAACCCCATGTCCAATATGGCGGTACGTTTCTCGTCGCTGCTGGAAGTTTTGCCTGTCCGCCTGTCGTCATGGGTATGTTTCAATTTCAGATGCTCAATTTCCAATTTCTCATCCCTGCTATTTCTTCTTCACCATCTCGTCATACTTTCAAATTAATTCCCATACCAGGCTGGCTAGCAAACAACACCTCCCCCCACTACGTCCGCGCTTCCGCCTCAGGATTACAAATCGGTCTCGCCAATATCGCCGCCTTCATCGCAACCTTCACATATATAGCCGAAGATGCACCTCGCTATACAGCAGGTCATGCGATAAATCTCGGTATGTTAGGTTTGTGTCTCATAGTTACTAGTATTACGATGTGGTATTGCAAATGGGAAAATGGGATGCGGGAGAGAGGGATGAGAGATGGGAGGTTGGTGGAGGGACATACGGAGATGTTGGGTCATAGACATCCAGAGTTTAGGTATACTGTTTGAGGGAATGGTTAGTGGAGATCTGTTGTGATTTTGAGGGATGGAGAAGTTTGGGAGCGAGGGTTACTTACAAGGAAGTAGGATGTGATCATATGGTGATATAGTTTCATGCAACAATATTGCAGCGTAATTATCCAGTCGGTGATATCATCTAAATCGAGTCAAAGGTTGAAGAAAAATAAAGTTAACTTCAATTGATAATATAGCTTGCTAACTAACACCAACGACCGATATTTAGCGATGTAAAATGAAAATTAAAAGTGTTAAAAATGGGCGAGAATGTTGGATTCCCCCTGAAAGAAGTATTTGAAAGTCCTCCTGAAATCATCCCCAAAGAACCGCTTCCATCGCCCTAACAAAAGAGAATAACAAATCACCATCAATCCACTAGTCCCACCATCAACCGAAAGAAAAGAAAAGAAAAGCAAAGACCAGAAAAGAGCCCAAAACGAAAAAGAGATCCTCCCATACACCATCTATCTCCAATCATCTCAACACTTTCGCCGGTGCTCGATCGCTCAAATACCAGTCGATCCCCATTTTTCAAGCTATAGAAAACTCTAGTCTTTTCCACATCGTAATATGTATGTAACCGTGACCGCCGGGAAGAAAAAGAAGAGGATCTAAGAAGTTAAAGGATCGCAGATCCAACTTTGGACGCCGTGGTCGTAAATGCCTTGCATTTGTGCGATACCATTCTTGTCGACGATAGCATAGGGTTGATCAGCAGGGCACTATTATTAGTATGATTGTTAGTATTTATTTAAACTCTAGAGGTGTTTAGATAAGGGCTTGAATGAAGGGGCGTTCTTACGCCTGGTTGGGTGTAGAGCCAACAACCAGGAGTGTTCTCAACATTGATGTTGATTGACTCCGTATTCTTGTTGAAAAGAGCAGGCATTTCATTGCATACACCGGGAGTGGAATAACCATTGTAGACAAATCCTTCGTAGTTCCAGTCAGTATAGCCTTGGAGGAGAAGCCTGAAAAACTCGTTAGTTGATTGCTTTTAAATATTCCAACCCATATAATTGGATTGAACTTTGGGCGGAAAAAGAGAGTTCAGAGCACATACTTTGAAGTTCCATCTGGCGAGGCAAGGTTGCAGCTGCACTCAAGAACACCTGGCCAAGAAGCTGGGTTTTGCCATACGCAGCCTGCAGCGCTGGAGCAGAATGAATCGGCCGTCCTAAGAACACCGGCGAAGACTGTAGAAGAGAAAGCAAGAGTAGCCAAAATGGCAGAAGTAGCTTGAGTGAAATGCATTACGATTAATTGGTGGTGGCTGTCGAGATGTTTAATGACGGAAGTGTTGTTTGAGTTTTTGGCTGTTGGCTGCTGCCTGTCGGTTGAGATATTGTTGATTGAAGACTGGATGTTGTTGTTGCGATGAGGAAAGAGAGGTTGGGCCGCTCCTGCCTCTCTTTATATATCCATTTCCATGGCATAATACCAACGACTAGCTCACTTGAGCTTGAAACAAACACATCCAGTGTTATTGAACGATATTACTAAATCTGGCAAGAATTGTTTTTCCCGTTTTTCTTGGCCGGAATTCCCATGTTCCGGCAAAGGAAGTATCTCATCGACGATGACCTTTCGGATGTTAGATTTGCAAATATCATGGACATGATTGAATCGAGAAAAGAAGGACGTCCAAGGCGCAAAACACGAGAAAGAACAAGTGATAGTCTACAGAGGTGATGGAATCGCACGAAAGGTTCTTCTTGTTGGTGGATTTTGGGATACAAATCCACACTGTTCGCGTCAATGAAGTCTAGCTCTAGCCTTGTTTAAATTATGTTCTAGCTTGATTTTCAGCTTGTTCTATAAAGTATGACAGTCATGTAGATAGCGCGAAAGACATATACGAGAGTATGATGAGTGACCAGATCGACGGTATATTTGTACTCCTGTGTATTACAAAATCGTCGGCCAAAAATCTGATCGCTTTAAATGATAGGATAGTATGGATTACCAAAATTGGACAGATCTTAACTTGCGATGTAACTTAGAATCTCGGATACTACAACAAAATCGCCGAGTAGATAAAAAGATACCAGCAACGTGGTAGAGTCAAGAGTGCTAACTTCACAACTTGATTGAGACCTCGAGGAGTGTGTTACGTGCTTTGACAGTGGAAACATAACAATATACAAGTAATCGGTGAAGACCGATGATGTGGAAGAAAATGAGATATGTGATAGAAATATATCCCGATTTTACCTCGCTGGGGAACTTACACGATCGACGTTGCTAGTACGGCTAGACAGGAATCAACCGAAAGTACCGAGGGCGCATCCGAACATTGTAATCTTGTTTCACTACATTTCTAACGAAATATTTGGCGGGTGGATGACTGTTCTCTCACAATCCTTCAATAGAGTCTTCTGATGGTCCAAGTCCTTGGTAAGATCGATCGTACCAAGATGAGGACTAGATAGAAAAGCCATGAAATCTATCAAGTTCCGTGGTGGATCATATAACCCTGATCTCATAATGTACAATATTCATATGTGGGTCAGGCAGAATTGAGGAGATGACTCGGAACCTAACACATACGCTTCGATTTGTGGCAGACTTGACCTCGAGGCTCTTGGCTGGCGCAGAACGCTCACTCACAGAAGTGGTAATTTAGTTGAGACTTCTTGTAATCAAAAACGGCTCAGGAGCTGGTCCCCGGCCTTGCAAAGAATAGCACGAGCCAAGATATCTACGTAGCATTAGACCTAGAAGAGCGAAATCATAGACTTCGGAACGTACCTTAATGATTATGTTACTAATGGGGATAAATCAATCCAGCTTCGGTAGCAACATCAAAATCCACTTGTCAGTAGCTATTGGATATTATTGTTCGCCAAAAGGATGGTTAAACTTCAGCAGGCTATTCAAGCCTCCAACCCAGCCGTCATCATCCTTCATGCCACTTTTAGGCCCTCTCATGACACATGGAACACCTCCACCCCATTCGTTGCTACCTTTCATCATTTCCTCGCCCTGAACTCTTATTTCCATGCCGACGCCAACTCCTATGTTTCGTCTTTGCCCGTCGATACTAACCTCCAATTCCCTTCCTCGATTCTTATCACTTAATCGAAGTTTGATCGGCGTGTTTGCAGGTACAACAAGAGGTCTAAATGAAAGACTCCTCGGACAGATCGGAGTTAGAAGAAGGCTGCTCACGAGTGGATGAACTATACTACCACCAGCACTCAAACTATATGCCGTACTCCCCGTTGGTGTAGAAATGATCATACCATCCGCAACAGCCTCGGTCAAAAATTGATTATTGACAAAAACTTCGATAATAGCCAAATGTGCTTCTTTTCCTCGATGGATGATAACTTCATTCATGGCATGCACATCTCCCTCTGCACTCTCTCGCGTACTTTTACCATTTGTATCAAAGACCTCGACCTTCAATCTATTCCTGAGAAGTACTTTCGAGCCCCTGGTTGACCCCATCGACTTGCCTCTAACACTCGACCATCCAGACATATCATCAGTCTTTTCTGACGTCGAAGTTTGGATATGAGGATGCATCTCGTCTTGAAAGAGATGAGACCCTGCAGCCGCTCCCGACATATAGACTTCTCGGAAGGCTCGCTTATATTCAGCGAACTTCCATTCTCCTAGGAATCCCAGGGTACCCATGCTAAAGGAAAGAATTGGAGGAACATGGCGGGTTGTGCTGAAAAGAGACGACGCATGTAGGATTGTTCCATCTCCACCAAGTGTCGTTACCATGTCAACCTTAGATGGGAAGAGAGATGGAACGTCAGTGGTATATACTGGAAATGTCAAAGAATTGTGTATACTCTCTGCCACCTTTTGCTCAAAAATGAGAGCTGCATTTTTGTAGTTCGAGTGTATATGTCTAGTACCTAGTCAGCTAGGGGAACCTTTTACAGGTATGAGTATATTGAACGAACTTGACATATTCAAATAGAGCCTCGGTGACGGCTGGAGCACGATCCTTCTTTATGATCAAGAGATTGCGAGGAGGTGAAGGCCATTGTAAAGAGAGCAAATCACTCTCTTTGGCTCCTATAAATTTCCACGTGAGTATTTGGATTGAGGTAGGTACAAGGACAGTACAGTATGTGTGGACTTACTATGATATCTAGGAACGAATCTATCCGGTAAACTCCTGATGTCTAAGATCTCGGATCTTGGATTGGTAGTGGTAAAAGATCTAACTTGTTTGGAGCAAGTTCTTGACCAAGGCCTGGAGAACGTGAACATGAACATGGTGAAATGTCGAAAATCGTATGAGATTCAGATGATCTCGTTGCACACACTAGCCAAAGTGCCGAGATGATCTTACACCAACCGATCTAGGAAGGTCTGATCAAACGGTGGATAGAGTAAGTGGTGGACACAAGAGGGGTACAATTAACATAATTGGTGGAGAGTCCGAGCGAGCTTATTAATGTTGATGATAGTTGGGGGAGAGAAGTTATTATTCTAGGAAACTCTAATCCAAAATGAAGACATGGCCCGTGCATCAGTATTTTCCGGCTGGTCCGAGAAAAGAAGGCCACCGTAGAAATACTCTGTATCTGACATCTGTAGAATGAATGAACAAGCTCTCTCTCACATGCCATTCAGCAATTACCTACCTACCCTACCTATACCCGCCAGTGACCTAGTCCCTAAGGTTAACCTATTCTATTACCGGCAACTTGAAATTTTAATTTACGTCACATCACTAAATTTTGAACATGAACATATTGGCAACTACATATATATCTATATATTATATATATATCTACATACACATATATACATGTCTATATACTTCTACCTCTACCCACTAGGCGTATTCAAAATGAAGAAAGTTTTATGATATAAGATTCTTTATGCTTGACTTTTACATTTACTCGTGTAAAACCACCAGTGAGCTTCTCAATTCACCCCACCAAAGCAACCTGGCGCTACCACATTAGCTGCCAGTGCTACGACACTAGATACTACGACACAGCCTTCTAGCCCTCAGCCCTTTAGCTTTCTAGCTTTCTAGCCTTCCCGCCTTCCCGAGCACACGACAAATCTGCCTAGTCTACAACTTCTCAAAATCCCTACTAGGTAGCTGTGGGCTATTTAATCCCAGAGCTCGCCTTTGGAAAACTCTTCTCCAAGAGTAATCTGATTCACAAATTTCAAACAACCATCATGGCCGACCCCAATCTCAAGCAAAGGCATAAGGCCTCAGCTATGCCAGCACCCGTACCGGATTTTGGAGGAGGAACTAAGGAAAAGGCCATTGGAGATCATCCTTCTGGTGAAGTTAGACACGGATTTGTCGCACAAGTTTGCAGATTGTTAAGCTTCGCGACTTATTTCTGGGCTGCTTGTTCTACGTAAGTTGCGCGGCTTGAGCTTCGAGATTCTTTACTGACCCGTACAAGGATTCAAGCTACCCAACTGATCGGCATACCTTTGTACTGGATAAACCGAGATATATACTATTCATGGATGGCACTCACGAAACAATCTTTCGGCCTTGTAATAACGACCATGACACAATGGTGGAGTCCAACAGTGGTTAGAATAAGTGGTGATGCTTCGGTAGCGGGGCAATTGCGCAAAACTGCCGATGGGAGAGCAGAATGCCATTTCCCAGAAAGATTGATTTTGATCGCGAATCATCAGGTATGCACAAGTTTGCGGCGAGGAAGCTTCACGAAACTAATGTTTGTTAGCTTTACACAGATTGGCTTTACCTCTGGTGGGTGGCTTACACTAATCAGCCTCAAACACATGGTTATATTTATATTATTGCAAAAAACTCTCTTAAATGGGTTCCGATTATTGGTTGGGGAATGCAGTTTTATAATTTTATATTCATGTCGAGGAAGATGGAAAAAGACCGACCGGTAATGGCCCATCGATTCAAGCAACTTCAAGAGAAACGACCAGGGGCTTTGGAACTCGATCCTATGTGGCTTCTATTGTTCCCCGAGGGTACGAATGCAAGCGACAACAGAAGAGAGGCGAGTGCAAGATGGGCAGAGAAGATAGGTGTTAAGGATATGGAACATGTTCTTCTTCCAAGGAGTACTGGCTTATTTTTTAGTTTGAACGAGTTAAAAAAGACGGTCGATTATGTATACGATTGTACAATGGCTTACGAAGGTGTTCCGTAAGTACTACCTGCCTCCTCAAAGCAGCCGATTGTTCTAATAGTTTCTAGGAGAGGGAAGTTTGGCCAGGATTACTTTACTTTAACCTCCTCATACATCGAGGGACGGCCACCAAAATCAGTGAACCTCTATTGGCGTCGATTCAAAATCGCCGATATACCTTTGGATAATGCCGAAAAATTTGAAGTATGGCTACGGGAGAGGTGGTATGAGAAAGATGCTTTGATGGAGCAATACATGGTTACTGGTCGATTTCCGCCTAACGTGACTTCGAAAGAGGGGACTATAGAGGAGTTCATTGAGACCGAAGTCAAACCAAAGCATTGGTGGGAAGTTTTCAACATCTTCATCGTTTTGGCGACTGTGGGGCTAGTTGCGAATCTATTCACCAAGGCTTGGAACTTGGCCTTGTATGGTAGCGTTAGGAAATGAAGTCAAGTGAGTACCAGGTAATTAGGAAGGAAGGGATCTTGGTCTACATAGGAATGAGGGTTATTGCTAGGCATACGAATGTATATGGATGGACAGCACAGCATGGATTATTAATGTCTCATGAAACGAGCGGTGTTTATAGGGTAAAGGCGGGCGGGTCGGCATTTTTCATATCAGACATCTCATCTCTCCTTTTATGCGAAATACCCAGATGGATTAGCGGTTAGGTTATAACGCGGGCTTGGGGGAGAAAGAATGGATATTCCTACCTTTAGCGAGAATATTTTTAGCGATTCATATATAGGATACGTATGTGTAGAAGAGTTTTCCTATACTTTATTGTGCAGTATCGTCTCATCGTTCTTCATCAATCTCTCCCATTTAACAAGCTAAACACCTTACGATCCATCTATTATCCATCATGTACTTCTCATCCTCTAATCACCTTCACCCTCACATTGGCTAACAAACAAATTCGTTCGACAACTCCTTACTTTTTCAATCCTGATTGATTATCAGCTCTGATTCCTACTTCTTTACTGGTGATTTTTATAATTACTAGGTAAGATTACTATAGTAGTCTTTTCTATTTTTCATTTTTTAAATATCTAATATAAAATTTATGATAGTGAAGAAGGGGACATAGATGGATTAATAGACTGTTATTGAGTGGTATACAATGCATGTGTTTTTATAATGATTAGTCCTTGACCATACATCAGCATTGGAATTATATCAACGCGCTAGCAACCACTCTGATTCATTCATAATCCGACAGGTCATATGCAACGCCTATATCCTATACTCCAAACCCTAAGACCAACCTCATAAAGAATATAAAGAACATAATAACCCTAAATAGGTAACCCCCTCGCCCTCCTCTCATCCTCCACCTTCTTAGCCTCCACCCTCGCTAAGAAAGCCTGTCTCTCCCCGTACGCCCCCTTCTTCTTGCCCGCTGCATCCAACTCATCCTTATAACCCTCTTTATCCACAAACCCAGCCCAATCCATCGCGCTCTTTTCTACTGTATTTAATTTCTTCGCTTCCTTCCCTGCACCCACACCCCCAACCAAATTCCTCGCAGCCGCTGCTGTGCCAAAATACAAATCTGTTCTTTGAGGTGTGAGATTTTCTACAATAGGTTCAAAGATCGAACGACGAGCCTTTTTAAGATTGCGTTTTGGCTTGACGAAAAGTTCCGCTTCTTTCCCCTTATTCCCCTCCTTTCCAGCATCAGATTCTTGAGATGCGAGAAAGAGTTTTGCTTCCGCGGAATCTTTCGATACGAGTTTTTGCTCTGTGATAACCTTCCCGGCGAAATTGTAGGTACGTTTCATCATAATCATAGAATCTGGGTCTTCGTTGAGGCTGCTGCGTTCTCTGGATTCTCTATGTAGTTCCGGCGACTTACTCTCTGTTTTTGGACTTGTGGATACGTTTACGGGTTTTGCAGAAGGTTTGGGTTCGGTGATGGTGGATGAGGCGGGTTTGCCAGATATCATGGCTGCCCACAAGGCATCTACGTCAACTGTTGCGGCTTTGGTATCTGCGAGGGGTTTCTTCTCAATCTTTCTACAGACAATCATCAGCAAAGACGTTCGCAAATATCTGATCGTACACATACTCTTGAGCGCGCATACTCCTCGTCTTAACCAAGCCTCCCTCACCACCCTCGTCTTCCTCCCCATCTCTCCCATCCTTCCTACTCCTCTTCTTCCGCCTTTTCAAGCCCTTTTCAATAATAGCTTCATCGCCCGAGTTCTCAAATCCCGCATCCTCCGCCTCTTCATCATTACCGCGTTTCCTTTTTGCCGTCTTTTTCTTCGGCTTATCTATTACCGCAGTAGAACCTTCATCTTCTGCTTCTGACTCTGATGATTCTTCTTGTGCTGGTACTGCATCTGGGGCGAAATCCTCATCTTCTGATGATGCATATTCCTCATCTGATGGTATGAGTTCTGGAGGCATCTCGTATTTAATTTAATATATCGAACGCGAAAGAAGTTTGATCGAGGTAAGGATTCGCAAGGCTGAGATATCACATGTTTATCATTATCGTAATCTTTTAACTCTCTCAGTGATGATTGGGAGGTGCGTGTTTAGCAATGCTTTATAATCAGCAAACATCTGATTAGCTCCTCTCGGTCTACATTTACTACCTATGATCACATAGTCGAGAATAATACCACACCAACGGCAATTCTGAATTCTACCCAGGTTTAAAAGTCGAATCTGTGCTGTGCCGCAAAGAGACTTTTTTTTTTCCAAAATATAATACTTAATGCAAGTATAATATCAACATTCTTTTGCAGTCTCAGATATGCAATGCATGTAAGCGCGAAAGTTTTTGCTAGCGAGCTCCTCATTTTCCTGCCATGTCCTGCATTCCAAACCCAAAAGAGCTCAGTGCCAACGTTGAACGGACAGAGTTCCTGGGATTTTTCTTCGCCCCCTATTATATCATACATACTTCGTACATATATGCTATTGATGATGGATCAAGCGGCTCATGTTCATGTGATGATTCCTACAGGACAAATTTTCGATGCGCTCGAATGAATCACAGATGGACTGAATGGTCCTAGATTGGTACTTTGGTCCACAAATCGAAATCACTTCACTAGCAATCATCAATGGAGCGTATGTGCTCCGTAAATGTCGTCAAAGCGTGCGTATCCACCAAGTATTGATTGACAAGTATAACGGACGGACAGGATGGCAAAGGTTATTCCAAGGCCCTTGACTTCTTGAGGGCTTGATCAAGTGATATTAACAAGGGGATGGATGGGTTTGCACCAGATAGATGTGGACAATATCTGGGGTAGAGATTTTCGAGATTTTCGAGATCTAAATCTTCTTTCTAGTGTAAGATATCGAATGTGAAGAGATTGCTGATCATGATATAATGTCTATCGGATAGAGGATAAATTATCTCTTAGATTTCCTATTCTAAAGAGTGATATTGAAATGGATACCGCGGGCCATACTGGCGGCAATTGTTTTTGGTTAATTACTTAGAAAGTATGGAGGAGACGGGATTATTGTAAGTCTTAATATTGGATACTTGTATGAATTCGGGGTGGTAAAAAGTGGGGTGAAGCCCTTTCCGCGCTACGGAAGTACATTCATTATTCTGTAAGATCTTACATTACCTATTGAGAATATACATTCGAGATATTGAAAAAAAATAAAAAATGGCACCAAGCCCGTCTGTCCGATAAGTGTACTATGGCTAGATAAGAAGGTACTAGAGTATCATGTAAGTATTTCAACAAGAGACGGGATGAACCTCGAGCATTCTGGGTGTGGGGTAAATATTGTATCGAGTACAGGAGATACTCCACCACTATCTCGTTGTCGCCTCGTATCAAAAAGCTGGTGGTCGAGTTTGACTAGGAACATGAAGATTCAAAAATCTCAAGAAGACGTCTTTTCGGGTCTGATTGGTCAATGGGAGTAAAAAGGATCGTCTAGTATATGTATGTCCTGCTAGGTAGTAGGTACATCTTAAAGCGTATCTTCGAGTCTTGATGTGTTGATGCTTGTTCTTTTGATTGTTCAAGCTAATTCCCTCCTCTCACTCCTACAGGGTAATTTGCGTGTTTTGGAATTGATCGAGGGCATTCCGACCTGCATAATCTTGGAAATATTAACCCCCATAGGCAAACAGAACAGACCGAAGCTTGACCCATTGTACTGGACCGGCCGACCAGCGTTGATCTGATATTTTGAGAATAATATCCGATTGAAGGGGAAAAATGCAGGTGGTGGCAGTGTGACATAGTTTTAGTTCTTGGAAAGTCCGCATTTAAAGTTGCATGCCCAAGAAACCTGAGGGAGAGAAGTCCAATGATATTGATTTGTACCTGTTGTGTATGTTGGGTAACGCCAATAATATCTGGTTATGTTCCTGCAATGATTATCGTGCAGAACATGACGTGTCCTCAGTGTATCTGTTCCTGCGCTGAGCGCTCGTCAAGCACGGAGGTGAATGGATCAATATATTGATGGTTTCGTTGGGTCTCTAGCGGGGATATATTTGAGGATATTCATGAGGTTGTAGCAGGTGTAGTGGTGTATTTGATAATGATTGAAAGTAATCTACAACCACCGAGGGACATCCAAGTACATCCAAGTACTTTGGACATTGCGATTTGCAGGAGTTTGTTGATCATCTCGCCAGCATTCGAGTTGAACTTAACGGTATCGTGGATCTGTCTTGATTCTTAATTGATAATTGGATGCAAATTCAGACATCCAGGTGCGCAGTGAGAATACGGCTTGGGTTGTCCTTGCAAGACTTATATCTTCTAGAAATTGTGGAAACGAACTAAGAGCTAGCAGATAAGAGCCTATCCTGTGTTCTTCAGCTTCATGGATATACCATGAACTTGGGCTAAATGCTTGAAGGTGTAAATGTGAAGAAAGATGGGAGTTTCGATCATAAGCATAACCGTAATCGTAACCATAACCATGTAGTCGGAAGAATTATTGCGACACATGACTTAATCATAACTACCTTGTATTCATATGAACCCACCATGCAAAGTATCCCTATTTCATACATCCATATGGAGGAGGAAGTTCTCAGTTCTCAGTTCTCAATTCTCACTACTCACTGCGCAGCCCTCACTCAGTTCCCAGTCCTCGTACTCGCTGAACCCCGACCTTAATTTCTCGATAAAGAAAATCAAGCATAAGAGAAAATCATCACAGCATCCTCGCGTATCCTTGTTGATAGGTGCATACACACAGCGCGACTAACTCATAATAGACATAAACAACCAACGAGGCTACCAATGATCATTGAACTACGGTTTTATTTCCGCGTCCAAAGTCGCACTGTCGCAGTCATGTAAATTATGATAACCTTATGGAATTGTAAAATCATCAGACAATCTTATCAAAATCATCACAGTCCAAAATTCATTTCCTCTCATCTACTATGTATTACCGCTCTAACAACTCCCACAACTCTACTTTGATTAATCTATCGCCTTTCCACTCGAATCTCGCCATCGCAGAATTGCACCTGGTGATAATGTATCTGTACGAGGAGATCAAGGGTTAATTAGCTGTATCATGGTCCGTGACAAGCTGGCAGCGTCAAATGCATTAGAGACATTATATGCATCTCAACAAATTCAGTTAAAGCAAACATAAGTGTGATCGGACTGTCGGTGTCGATTGTGAAAAAGTGTTCGACAAGGTCGAATATTTGAACAACCGCCATTCGCGGTTCTCTTCATATGTTATATGTTTCAAGACACAAATTGCATGTCGTTGTATATGAAAGAGATCGACACGACAGATGGAAGAAGGATGAATGGGCATGTGAAATACATGTGAAGTTCTCATAATACTTGGTTCATCGCAACTCAAAAGCTCCACAACAGCACGCAGGTATGAGAAGGGTTATACTAGTACGATAGATGTAGGACAAGAGGTTGTCCGTGAACTTAGTTTGCAGCAGTGTAAGCCTTGACTGGAAAGTTCAAAAATTGTGGAACCCACCAGATCTATGGAGGGAGGTGCGAATTGGATGTTGATTTGATCTTACACGCGTTGAAAAATGTATGGTGTTGAATGTTGCAGCGTTTCAAAGGCAAACGTCCCTTCCAAGCTTTTCTCTATGCCACTTCATGTAACCTATTCCAGCATTTAAACAGAAGTTTATGCTTTGTGGATCTGCGACCGTTGACCACTCAAAATCTTCACTCTCAACTCCTATCTTCTCCATCTCCAGACTTCGGTAAAATCTGGACGCCAGCAGGCTGGCTGAATCTGCACCTCACCTCTTTTGGCGTTGAGGTAGGTATGCATGATAGGTAGTGCTGACCACGGGCACGAACCCGAGATTTATCACAGGTGGTAATGTTCATTTGAGAGGCGGCAAGTTCATCCGTGTATCTCCTCCACTGCTTGCATTTTGACAACCCACTGCAGCAACCATCGAAGTCGGCTTTTTTGTGTTGTGAAAACAGATTGGTGTGAAATAGCGAGATGCTCACTTTTCTGATTTGGATGACTAGGATTATAGACGGGAGGCTCGTGAGGAGACGGAAACGTGGGGTGAGAAGGGTAAAGAAGGAATTAAAGCTCTGGCACCAACAAGATGTCAAAATGTAAACGCTCAAGATGAAACGTCCAACAGAACCGCCGTTTGGAGGGAACACAAATCCTCCAAGGCATATCTCTATCGTTAGAGCTTGGCAGAAAAGAAGATGAATGATGGAAGCGTCTACCTCGCACCAAAGAACATATTGGAAGAGGGTGTGTCACCTTACTAATCCATTGCCAATATACTGGGTTGAAGAGCAAGATGGTCTAAAAATAAATGCCTTTTGAATCCGTATGTATGGAAGTCCCACTTTCTTGGGCGAAACCGAGACGTCTTGGATGTGAAATCATGTCGAATGATATAAAGAAAGGGAATTATTAAATGTGAGCTTCTATACGGGGTGTATCGGGGGAAGCCTCATTTGGGTGGTACAAGTACGATTGCTGTGTAAATTGTAGGATGGTTATGGGGTATTTGTACTAGTGTTTGAATATAATATTGGCGATATATATTGTAGTAGTGAACTAAATAATAATAACTTTGATACTGCTATGGTTGTATAACTTGTATGTACCGAAGTACTTGTAAATGGAAGGCGCCGTGCAGAAAGTAATAATGACTACCTACCTAGGTAATTATTGCATTTCTTCCTTGCCTTTGCGTGATGGCATTGGCAATACTCATAGAGAAATAATGAATTCCTCTCCTACTGTTAAATTCCTTACAAACGTTCCGAGGCCTCTGGTGAATACCTACCTAGCATGCCAAGTACCAAGGAAACAGACTACCTAGTTATTGAATCTCAAGGTGTGAGATATGAGGTCTGTTCACTATCAATACCATAGGATTGGAGATTGAAGGCGTTCATTGTAATAATTGACAGGTTGATGCTACCTAGGAATTTCCAAATGATGATCCTTCTACTGTAGCCAGGTGAGATAATCGAGGAGAAAAATGCCTCGATCTTAAAGCTTGTTTATCATATCATAACTTCACAGCCCTTACAGGCTGTGTACTAGGTAGGTATCCTGGAGTAGACGAAGGCTTGTATACCATACCATGACTCTGTAGTCTTTCTGTCCTTACAGACGATTTGTGTGTATGCTGTAGTAGTAAATAAAAGCTTGTGTATCATAACATGACAGTCTATCTTATAGGCCACATGTGTGCTGTAGTGATTGAAACCTCATCTCTTTTGCGCCTGAACAAAGTGCTTTTACTTTGTAATCTTATATGGTCGGTACCCAGCAGTACCCCTAAAGTGAATGTGCCCAAGAAGAAAATAGGACTATGGATGAAAACATGGAAATTGGAAATGGAAATGGGAATGCAAATGGAAATGGAGAATGGAAAATGAAAAATGGAAGATTTTACCCCTGGGCCATAATTAAAATTCGAGTTTAATCTTCTAAAATTGAACTAGAATAAAAGAAGGAATAGCCTTAATTATACTGATGAGATCTAATCAGATAATTGGCTTACAGGATGACGATAGATTTGCATTAATCAACATAAAATAAAAAAGCCGATCTAAGCCATCCCGGGCCATATCTGTTGATTTTCCACTCTTTGGCCCAAATTAATCAAAGGGCATATCCTTGCGGTCTAACCACAACAAGATTGATGTCAGTGGGGCCGGTGAATAAGGTGAAAGTATCCAAAGGACTTGATGGTGTTTATACCAGGTAGGTATGCTAGGTATGCTAGGTATGCTAGGTATGCTAGGTAGGCATACTAGGCACACTAGGTACCTGCTGGGTAGTTGGATTCTAAATCTAAGTCCAAGTCTAAAGTCTCCGTACCCAAGTCTAATCTGCTCCTCTCCGTAAGGTACCACCAAAAATATCTCATCAATTCCCCCATCCCTATCCATCTATCTATCTATTCATCCAACTAAACTCAATCACTCAATCACTCAATCACTCCATCACTCCGTCCCTCGATCCCTCAATCAATCAATCAATCACTCACCCACTCACTCGCCCACCCACCCAACCCACTCACACACACACTCTCTCTAATCTCACTGTCGCTGTTTTGGGGGACAACCCTTCCCATTTACCGCCGTTTTCTTCCCATTCCCCCATTCC